TTTTTTAATTTTTTAATTTTTTATGATTTAGTTTATTTGAAAGGCAGAGTTAGAGGGATAGAGATCTTCCATCCTCTGGTTCATTCCTCACATGGCCACATCGACTGGGGCTAGGCAGGCTGAAGCCAGGAGCCAGGAGCTTCTTCCAGGTCTCCCACATGGATGCAGGGGCTCAAGCACCTGGGCCATCTGCTGCTGCTCTCCCAGGTGCATTCACAGGGAGCTGGTTTGGAAGTGGAGCAGCCGCCACTCAAACGAGCACCCACATGGGATGCAGTGGTTTAACCCACTGTGCCACGGCACTGGCCCCGAACTCCTTGCTTTTAGTGCTAAGGACTGGGCTGTGATTTTTCTTTAAAATACAAGGCTCTCAGCAGTACCATTGAGAACTAGATGGGAACATCTTGTACCACATTACGCCAGGCCTTCATGCTTTGTGTTTCTGAGGGTAGAGGCATAAGACTCCTGTAGGATGGATTGAACTTTATCTTCTAGAAACTGAGATACCCACTGAATGATTTAGTGGTTCCAGGGGGCAGAAGTGTACCCACGAGCAGAGACGAAAAGGTGGGAGGCGTCAGCAGCGTGTGAGGACTTGAGTTATGTCATGAGGTGGAGAGCTCTGCTTTCCACAGTGTGCCGCGTGGCCGCTGGACATGTCCCGAGGCGTGTGAGATGGAGGGTTAGACTCACTGTCCCAGCTGTGCTTTAATGTGTCTGCCAAAGCTCCCAGGCTGGAAACCGTATCCCCAGCACAACAGTGTTGAGAAGGGGCACCTGTAAAAGTGGTTGGGTCACAAGGGCTGTGCCCTCAGGGATGGTTAACACCAGTGTCGAGGGGGTGGGCTCCCGGTAAAAGGGTGAGTTTAGCCCCCATCTTACACACGTGTGCTCTCTTGTCCTCCCATTTGTGCAATGGCATGATGCTGCTACGAGGCCCACACCAGACACAGGCTCCTTGAACTTGGCGTTCAGCCTCTGAGAGTATAAGACATAAACCTCTGTGCTCTATAAACCACCCAGCCTGGAGTGTTCTTTTATGGAAACACCAAACAGACTAAGTCCCTAAATTCATTTCTGATATGGACATTATGCAGTTCTGTGACTGGGAGTGCTATTCAACCTGGTATCATTTCAGGTAAGAAGATTTTCCTATAGGAAGTCATATTTTAGAACATTTGAAAATATGAGGGTACTTCAAGAAGTTTCTGGGGGCTGGTGGTGTGTCATAGCTAGTAAAGCTGCTGCCTACAGTGCGGGCATCCCATCTGGGCGCTGGTTCAAGTCCTGGCTGCTCCACTTCCAGTCCAGCTCTCTGCTATGGCCTGGGAAAGCAGTAGAAGATGGCCCACATACTTGGGTGCCTGCACCCGTGTGGGAGACCCGGAGGAAACTCCTGGCTCATAGCTTTGGATCAGCACAGCCCCAGCCATTGCGACCATTTGGGGAGTGAAACAGTGGATGCCAGATACCCCCTCTCCCACCTCACAAATAAATAAATCTTTTTATAAAAAACGTTTCTGGAAAGTAGAGGAGGGTATTTGGCCCAACAGTTAAGATGCTGCTTGGGATGCTCACATCCCAAGTGCTTGGGATTCTGTCCCAGCTCAGCTTCCTGCTGATTTGCATCCTGGGAGGCAGCAGGTGCTGGACGGAAGTCATTGAGTCCTTGCCACCCAAATGGGGCACCTGGATTGAGTTCCTGGCTCCCAGCTCAGCCTGTCCTAACCCTGGCTGCTGTTCATCTGGGGGATGAACCAGCAGATACGAGCTCTCCATCTGTCAAAGAAAGTAAGGGAATGAAAACTAGGAATCTGTCCATAGAGTTTTTTTAGTGCACATTTCCTGTGAACTTTCTGAAGATGTTTAGTATGCATAGATTTCAAAAATTTTGTGCACTTAAAAAAAAAAACTTGACTTCTAATTCCACTTTCCACAGACGTTTTAAAAAAGATTTATCTGAAAGGCTGAGTGACGGAGACAGAGACAGGGAGAGATCTTCCTCTGCTGATCACTCATTTAACTGGCTGCAACAGCTGGTGCTGGCCCAAGCTGAGGCCAGGAGCCAGGAACTCCATCCACGTCTCCCACATGGGAGACAGGGGTCCGGGCACTTGAGCCATCTTCTGCTTTCCCAGGCTCATTAACAGGGAGCTGGATGGGAAGCCGAACAGCTGATACTCGAACTAGTGCTCTGATAGGGGATGCCAGTGTCGCAGATGTGACCTAGCCTGCTGGGCACAGTGTCTGCCCCCCTTCCACACACTTTCTCAAGTACCCTTGTGTGTTTCATATTTTATCAGTCCAGTCCTACTGGGAAGAATATGTTAAGTGCCTACTGTCCAAACACTGTCCTGGTTTATGAGACACTTGGGACAGATTGCTGGATGCTGAGAAAACTTCCTCACAGGTGTGTGTGGGGGGCACCTTTCAAGCAGAGGGAGTGCTTGTTTGTTCTGGTCGGGAGAGGCCAGGGAGTCTGGCACAGCCCTGAGCAAGTCAGCTGGCGCCTTTGTGACACTGCCATCAGCAGTGCCTCCTTCATGGCCTTAGATGGTCACTAGGAGACCTCGACAAGGCAGCAAGTTAGCCTGCTTCATACAACCCTGGAATGGGCCACAGGGAGGACCTCTAGTTTTCTTGTGCCTCATGTCTGAGAAATTTTACGTGCTTGCTGTGTTGTCAGACACTTGTTGGGAATTATGTCAAACACGAGAAACAAGATTTTAATTGTCTTAGGTAGGCATCACGGTTAGAAGCAGGTTACTTCCAGGTGCCAACACTGGCAGCACCTGTCATTCACTCTTCCTAGGCTTGCAGCAAGACACAGGTGTGTGGTGGTTGGTTCTTGGTGACAGATCCTGAAATAATTCAACATTAAGAAGAGCCCAAAGGCTCAAAAGCTCCAGTAGAAGTGATGGTGGGTAAAATTCATAAAGAAATCTGGCCTTTCTGGCTATATGGCAGATTATACATTTATCTTTGAAAAAACTCCTACCCATTAACAAGAAACTCACCTGTCAAACATACTGGATACAGAATGTAAAATAATTTTTAAATGCATGGCCATGCTGGTATTGAAACAGTACAGGGCCTTTACAAAACAAAGAGCAGAATCCTAGATGTAAGGAGGCAAAGACAGCAGGTGCCCTGCCAACTTGCTGCTGCTAGAAGACCAAGACCAACGGTTTCAGCCGTTGAAGAGGGGACTGGGTGCAAAGCCTGAGAGGTCTGAGTCAGGGGAGCCGACAGACCACCACTGGTTGTGCGGTGAATGCCACAACTGGTACTGAGCAGTTACTAAGCCAAACCACCACCACTGGATGTGTGGTGAACGTCACAGCTGGTACCAAGTGTAGTTACTAAGCCAAACAAGTGCTCAGATCACGGAAGGGTAGGTGACTTCAGTTCTCTGAGCCTCATGGGACTTCAAGTTCCTGCTAAAATGTGGATACCAAATGTATCTGCCTCTCCAAGAACCGAGTGGTGGGGAACCGCGGGCTTCACTGTGGTCTGGGAAGCTGATCTGCAGGACCTCCCTCCCTTCAGCACGTACACACACCTAAAGCAGTACCTGTTGTTTTCATCAGCTCTGCTTGTCTCCTGGAAACACAGGCTTTTCCCAAAAAGGTCGAGATCTTTCCCTCCAGACCTGTTTTATTTTTAACACAGCAACAGACTGTCTCTAGCCCATTCAGATTAAAGACCAGGCCACGCGTGTTTTCACTTTATCACTACTATGTTTATGCTTTAATTACTAAAATATCTAATTAGGAAGGCGAGAAGCTGTAAAAAAGATGAAAAAGTTTGGGGGGGGGAGTTCTTTTATATCTGTATTTGATGTTTACTAAAAACCATAAAATCTGAATTATTTAAGGATGTTTATTTGAAAGGCAGAGTTACAGTCAGAGAGGAACAAACAGATCTTCCATCTGCTTGTTCACTCCCCTAACGGCTGCCAGTCAGGGCTGAGCCAGGCTAATTCAGCCAGGAGCAAGGACCTTAATCAGGGTCTCCCACATGGCAGAGGGCAAGATCCGAGTGGAGCAGGCAGGACGGGGCCAGTGCTCATATGGAATGCTGGGGTTGCACGCGGTGGCTTTTAGGAAGCTGCGTCACAGCGCTGGCCCCAACCTACCATTTTAGCAATATTTTTTAAGTCAGGTTTTCTTATATTTAATAGCGTTAAAATATTTTAAATCTAGTTTTATGAAAAACTATCACTTGTAATTTTCCTTTGTCCTTCCAACTACTGATTCTGAAGAGAGAACTCTCAAGTCAACAATGTTTGAAGGTTTGGTGGACATATTCTGATGTCACTTCTGTCACCCTTCTGCATTACCCACAAGTCAGATCTTAACACTTCAGAAATTCTATGGGAATTGGGAGAAACTTCCGCAAATCGGCACTGAAGCAAGATATTTTATTTGCAAAGGTTTTTTGTGTTAGCTTGCTTCCCAAAGGAAATTCTGAGCTTTTTCCACTAAGTTATTTTAAATGTTTTAGAAATGTCATTAAAAATTGTTTGATCCTGTAACAGAACTCCATTGGAAAAGAATCCCCAACCACATATAGTTTTACTAAATAATACTTACATGTAATTGGGGATATTACAAGGGTATTATAAAAAATTAACTATCTTGCTCAAATATTATACAATTAAGGATTTTAAGATGCATATAACCTCAAAATTCATTGTTTAGACTTATTTGCAAGAGGGACAGAGAGGTCTTCCATCTGCTGGTTCACACCCCAGGAGCCACAATGGCCTGCCTGAAGCAAGGAGCCTTCTCTGGGAGCCCCATGTAGGTGGCAGGAGCCCAAGCACTGGGGCTGTTCTACTGCTTTTCCCAGAGCATCAGCAGGGAGTTGGATTGAAGTAGACCATCCAGGATGCGAACTGGCACCCACAAGGGCTGCTGTTGTTCTAGGTGGAGCCTTTACCTGCTAAGCCACGATGCCAGACCCAAAATCCACATTTCTTGAAAGAAATGAGACAGTTGTTCGATGTGCATAGAGTTTATTTGGTACACCTATTAAACTCTACAATAATGAACCAACCAGAAACAGTTCATGTAGTGTCCACCTGTGTTCCAGGTCAAAAATGATGTACAAGTTGAGTGTCCCTAATCCAAAAATCTGATATGCTCCAAAGTCCAAAACTTTTCAGGTTCTGATGTGATGCCACAAGTGGAAAATTCAACTCCTATGACAGGTTACAGCGAAAACACAGCACAGTAAAAATACTGTACAAGATCACCTTTAGGCCGTGTGTATAAGGAACATGGGAAATATCCTCAAGGTACTTCACTGTGTGTACGCAAACATTCTGAAATCTGAAACACTTTTGGTTCCAAGATTTGTTCGGATGAGGGACAGTAGCATATTGTGCAAAGCTGGGAAGGAGACAAAGTGAAGATTTCACAGTATCGGTGAAAACTTTTACCATGAAATAAACCTAACATGTTAGTATATTCATCCATTTCCCATCAGAGAACAGCCAGTTGCATTGCTAGATGTACTATTTACAGTGAAACCTTGGAAGACTGGACAAAGCATCAATTACTAACAGACCTAGGAAACCCACATCCCATCCCATCCCACCTTGCCCTTTCATGGTCTTTCTTGGAAATAACTTGTTGTAAATCAAGCTTACTATGTACCTTTAAGCACCAGCTTAACAATTCTTTCAGTTTTATAAAATATTTCTGCTTTGAAAGGCAAAGTGAATGTAAAAATGTCAATGTAAATAAACCACTGGCCTGGATACTTTTTATTGCAGAAGTCTCAATGTTTTACTACTATATCCACTTCCGTGAATGAATTTGCTTTTAGGCTCAGAACAAAGTATTTGCTGTCTTAAAAAAATTACCTTAAAAAATTAGTCTTTGGAATTGTACAATTCTATATTTCATTCAGTGTTAAATATGCAACTTGGTCCTTGGAGGCCATATTATATTCAAAGTCCAGCTTTTCGATAATTGGTTATACAAAACAATACAAAACCTTAAATGACCACAAAATATTACTGATGTTAACAGTCATGGATGTGTAAAACATCAGTGTATCCAGGGTACCCTGTGAATGGGTAAGTTTAGATCACTAATGTACAATCAGTTTTTGAAACTTAAATTTTAACTCACTAGATAGATGAAGAGTCTAAAAGACCCTTTGCGTTCCCTACTTCACTATTAAGGCATTACTTAATACACAGAATCCAAGCAAGGTCACTGGTATGCCTCTGTGGCAGAGCTGGTCGTACTTTAAGGCAGTCAAAAAGTTCATTTATCCCCCCACTTAAGGCTCTTGCACACTTAAATTTATTCCATGCAGACATCATTTTGTATAATTTATACATTCACCAAATAGTCAATTATGGAAATCAAAGCTTTTATATAGTTTAGAACTAACAATGCTATCCCTATTTTTTTTTAAAGATGACTTCACATATCTTTTTGGGGGAATTTCTTCATTATCAGAAGCTGCCAATAAAATACAACTCAGAAATCTTATAAAAGTTCTGTCTTGACACATGATATCAAATACATAGTCTATATTTAGCATTGTAAACATTTTATCACTATCCATTAAGTGTATTAATATTTCTAATTTAGCTGTGTATGAATTCTAAACAGTTTACATTGCAAATAAAGCCTAAAATTTTGTACTGATACAGTATTCTATAAATTGTGTATGTTTTTAATCTCATTCACTACCCTTAATCCAAGTGTTCATTAAGAGAAACCAGCAGAAATGTATGTCATTACTATCTCCTTAGTTCATACAAATTCTAACAATTTCTAGAAGTACAGAAACAAACATTTTAAAACTAAAAATCACTGTTCATAAAATTTGATACTTTGCAGGGATAAGTAAAATAGAAGCAAAGGGAAATCTCTAAGATCAAACTACCATTTTTATTTTTCTTATATTTACAAATCCATTCTCATTGAAATTAACCACCTTAATTTCAGTAATAGCATTTCCCAATACATTCTCTAGCTTATGTTCTTAATCTTGGCATTTTCAGGGTTTAGGAATATGTGCCATTTATTTTAATTTTATTCAAACAGTATGCTTTAACTATATTAGTTTTCTACATGAAAAATATTACCTTAGAATTCCCTTTTAAATTTCATAATTATTTTTCAAAAACAAATTTAGCAAATAAAAATATGGAATGTGAATACAAATTATGCTATAAGCTGTATGTGTATATATATGCTCAGTGAAATACTAAATCAAATTTTGTGTAGCTTAAATTATCAAAATATGAACACTATAAGTTACTTTCTGAAAAAGTTATCAATTTTCTCTTCAATGAGACTAGGTACATTTAAAAGCTGAACAACTGATCTTATTGTAAGGCCTCAAAATTTCTGCAAACATCTCATATAAAAAGGATGAAATGTAATGTATTCTTCAGGGAGAATTCATCCATCCCTTTATTGCTGTAAGATGCCAGCCTATCACTAATTTGAAAAATGACCTTAAATCTGTGTCAAACAAAAACTAGGAAAGTTTCATTCCAAACCTAAGTGTGGGTGACTTTGTCATTCATTTTATTATGCAGATAGATCAAGACTAGAAAAAGGACAAAAATGTCAGAAGGAATCTTAGGAGAACAAGAGGTATGATTCTTTCACAAAAGAAGAGATCAAGGAACAGATACCAGGGGACTACTAGAATCTGTACAGAGAATACTAATTTCCTAGCTTCACTTTTCATTTGCCCTAATTCTTCCTTGTACATGTTTAGGCACATGACAGTTCTTCAGAGGGTATATTAACAAGATATCTACAATCTGGAGTATAAAAGACTAAAAATTTTTCATTTTTAACCACTTACTTACAAGAGCATCACTTATGAAGAAATGGTAACTTTACATTAAGTCCAACAAGAGATTACAATGATACAGCCTTTAATTACTGCTTAGATGTAGTTTTACTGTATTTCTAAAGTTGCTTCTCACTTATCTGTCAGACTTTTGGATTTATTCAGGAATTCTGTCTTTCCAAATTATGTTTTTGCAAAACCTTGGAAATGAGAAAAAAACCTGAGAAATGGTTTAAGATTTACTTTGTAATGAGATTTTCTAGGTCTGTCCAAGAAGTTAGACCTAGGATATATTTCTTCTCTTTATTGGAGAATAGTCACTTTTCATTCAGTACCTTAACTCTGAAAATTTTTCTCTTCTACATTCTTCCATTCTGAACAGAAATGTCTGAAAGAATTATTAGGCCTATTAAACTATTTTTCTATTATATTTGATCTTTCAAAACATAGCCTTTAAGAATGCTTTTAATTTAAAAAGTTCTAACTTGTAAGCCTTCTTAATTTTAGTTTTTATATAAATATTAAATCGCTACTTCTATGATCCAAATGTCAGGTATGTTAGTTTTTGAAGATAGTAAACAGTCACGTAGGTTAAACTGGTCATCCACAACCACACAGTAAGAGAAAGCAAAAGCAGTTCCAAAGGAGTAATACTAAATTTCATCCACTAGCATACTGCCTCAAGTAACATTCTTGTGAAACCGTTCCTGACCTAAATAATCTAACAGTCCTAGTAAATGGAATTTACAACAAATTTCAACTGTTAAGAAAGGGTGGGATTACAACTATATGGTGGACATATTTACATACTACCTAGGAAATAAAGTTTTTCTTAGGATTGTTTTTAAAAGCAATATTTCTCCAAGTTTCAATTTACAAGTAATTATAAAAGTAATTTAGAAAGTAAGATGTTTATCACTCAAGTACAGTCTATTCATAATGAGGTAATGTTTTTGTTTTTTTCTTCTATAAGGACTATGTTATAGAGCAACACAGGTTATATTAAAACAATACTAATTGTACTTGAGGATTATAATGGATTACAAAATTATATATGTTCACAATCTGTTTTTCTATTCCCAAAGCAATTCCTAATGTCTAAATAAGATAAAAGCCTCGAATAATTCCTGTGCTTCTAAGTCAGTGTGTTCTCATTTTGTTGGAATGAATACTGGAATGGGAATGAAAAGACCAAGATTTCTGAGTCACAGGGCTCCAAAATCACACCGCTTTGGAGTTCAGACCTGTAACTAAAATCAGAAAGTTAGCTTTCAAAGATTTCTTTCAACTCTAGTTCCATGATTTGTACATAAAGTTACTTTCTATGATAGTCTCTTGTAATTTTCCTTTTGTTCTTCAATCTTATCCTAATTTATTTAATCAGACCTACGTAAATACTTCTAAAAGGTAATAGCTAATCCCTGATGGATTTAATATTAGTGCCTAGATACACTGTATTTGTCTAAAAGCACTATGAAAATAGTCTATAACTGAAGCAAACAGACTTATAAATTTTCTCTTCAATATTTCTATTAGTAATAAAAAGTTAGGACAAAATTTTTTAATTCAGAAAAATCTTGGTTTTCAAGAATTTGAGAGCTATTAGATAATTCTATTGGGTTTTTCATATTTAGTCTGAACACAATATTTTCACTTAGCAAAAGTAGCTAACATGAAACTCCATGACTGACACAAGGTTACAACCAGAAGAAAACCAAAAGCAATGCATGTTTGTGTGTCAGTGTCTGTGTCACTGGCTCTGCTGACCAAAAATACCTCGAGGTAACTCACAAATTCAAACTGTTGCCAGCAGTTGCCTTAAAGGAATGGCTACATATCAAGGCCATCATTAATGTGTCAAACACATTGAAAGGACAATTTTCTTTTTTCCTGAGCCCAAATTACCCATGAAACAGAAGAAAATACGTACATAAATTCTCACTCTTGTGTCCCTTTCCCAAAACATAAAACCTTAACCCTCAAGCACATAAAAGGCTGTCATTTACCAGAGTTTGACTTAAATCTTAATATTTATGTTATGAACTATTTCATATACATGGTAAAATTATGAGGAAAGATATTAACATTTCAACAGACAGCTTTAATGTTGTCTCTCCCAGTGAAAGGATACTTATTCAGGAAAATAATGCATTTAGTGTAAAGAAATGCATGTTTCACACACACACACACACAAATCCTACAGACTAGTTGGTAATAGGCCACTCAAAAATGGCCTTTCAAACATCAAAAAAAAGAATGTTTTGCCACAAAATGAATAATGGACAAAGACACAGGCAGCTGTTGACATGTTTACAATTAGAAACTATCACAACCAGGGTCGGCACTGTGGTAATAACAAGTTAAGTCGCTGCCTGCGATGTAGGCATCCCACATGGGCACAGTTTTGGCCCTGGCTGCTCTGCTTCTGATCCAGCTCCCTGCTAATGCGCCTGGGAAAGCAGCAGCAGGTGGCCCAAGGACCCCTGCACCCATGTGCAAGATCTGGATGAAGCTTCTGGCTCCTGACTTTGGCCTGACCCAGGCCTGGCTGTTGCAGACATCTGGGGAGTGATGTAGTGGAGGGAAGAGCTCTGTCTCTGACTTTCAAATAAATAAATCTATTTTTAAAAGAATCAAAACCCATTTTCAATTGAATAAAAATATAGTTAACAGTAAAACAATTATTATTTTAAGAGGAAGGAAAAAACTAATCTGGTTTAAGATTTGAACTTATACTTTCAAGATTAATAGAGAAACTTAAAAAATGTTATTTTCATTCATATACAAAAAATTTACTACATGTTATTATGTTGCTATAAATCAGGAAATCGCTCTGAAGTCAAAATCCTCACAGAAAATAAAATACAGCAAAACAAAACAACAAACAAGCCAAATAGAATTCCTCAGCCAATACAAACTTCTAAGGGGTTTCCGTATGTTTCTGGTTAATGGTAACAGACTCTCAAGTACAAACAGAATATCAGAAATAAAATATCTTGTAAATTGAATAAGAAAGCTGATACTTGTTGTGATCTTAGAAAACGGAAAGGAATTTTCAAAACTCATTTATAATCGAATCAAATACATCCCCCCCCCCCCCAGTATAAAAGTTTACAGAAGAATCTCATATTCCATCACAGTTACATGGTCTAGTGCATTTCAGAGTATCTGGACATTATCAAAGCTATCTTTTCCCAAGGGAAATATTTTAGAAAACGTTAAGTACTTCTCAAACGAGTGACATGATGTAGAACTACTTAAACTTCTGCACATGTATTATTCATGGAAGCAGAACCGACGGACTGTTTCACATGGCCTATTAACAAGAAGTTCTCTGTTAGAGGAAGCTACAGTATCCTGAAGCTGCTTCCCAAGAGCTAGGCTAGTGATGAACATGGGGCTCATCTCTCATTTCCTTCTTCTGGGTAAGGTATGTTTCCATTATGCACATACTGTAGCATCATCCTTCACTGCATTGACATCAGGTGGGAAGTCACTGTGTCTGTAGTGAGATCACGGATGCCAATGGACCTCTCAGATCATGCTGCTACTTGTGATTAAATCACATCTAACGTGAAATTTCGGATTACATCCAGAGCACCAGTATCAAAGCCACACATGTCCAACATGCCTCTGTCATCTGGGTCTGCAACGGTAAAGCCATTTGATGTCATTCCACAAACTATCAGTTTAGCTGGAATATCCATTTTCTGGAGGAAAAGGTCAAAATGCATAATTAAGAAATTATAAGGAAAAGCGAAAACCACAACAAAAACATTTTAAAATCTCTTCACTACACCCTGTTATTATGAAGTCAGTTTCTTTTTTAATCTATATTTTAGGGTCAGACTGTGAACTTCAGAAGAGTAGAAAATAAAATTATGCAAAGAACCTGCCTGAAATTTCTACTTGTTCTTTATTTTTATTTGTATGGGCTTCAGAGTAGATTTCTGAGCAGTCTAGGGACTTTGTAATTATGAAGCATGTCAGGACATTCAAGAGTGCCAGACATCTTTTAATCAGCTTATCAATTGCTGGGGAAATGTTTGAGTACAAATACATGTAAGGAAGCATTTCTGAGATTATCAATGTTTGGTTTACAACTTTGGTGTGTACGATCAACTTGTTCTCTACAGCTGACTAAGATTCAAGTAACTGAATCTTTGAGACAAAACCACCACTGAATGTACACACTTAGTGAACTCTTTAAATAATTGGTGTTAATTGTTGTAACAACCCCAAAACGAAGTGCTGCTACCTACTGTGACTTCTATCTAAGGATCCTCTGTCACCTGAGGTTCTGAGAATTACACATGCATCAGAATCAGCAGGAGGAGCTTGTGAGGACTGGTGCCAGCCAGCGTTCGCTTTAGCAGGTGTCTAACAGGGCTCAGTAAGTTACAATTTGAATAGGTCCATGTGATGCTAAGGCTGCTGGCAGGGAAACCAAACTCTGAAGACCACTGTTCTTCATTGACAAATTCTATTTCTACTTCTAGTCACTTCAGCCACATTTTGAGTGCTCAATAGCCCCATGTTACTAGTGGCTAACATAGGGGAGCGAAAAGTTACAGAACGTTATGTCATTTATAAAGAGCAATTGGAAGGCCCTGACTCCAACACAGATACGTGCAAAAAACTTAAGACATACTTTTGCTTTAAATTTATGTAATCCTTTAGCAAAATTCACAAATGCTACTTAATTTTTCTGGGAGCACAATGATTTATTTTTAAAAATTTTATAGCTAAGGTAAAGTATTTTAGTTATCCCAAAAATATTGTTTGCAAAAGATGTTCTCGGTAATGTTTAATATTGGAACTTATTAAAATTAAAATATGTGTAGTCCATTTTTTTCTTATTTCAAGTACTGCTGAATCCATATCTGACATCGGATTCCTATCATCAAGGTGCTGGATGACCTTTAGTAACATATTTTGAAAAACATAGTGAAAGGAAATGGGGTATCATTTAGGGAGAAACAGTAATAGAATTTGTTCTACCTTTCGATATTCCCTCAGAGCAACAGCAGGACGGACACCCCCAGCGTAGGTCTCATTCCCAGTGAACACCAGGAAGACATCTGCAGCCGTGTTTGTCCTCTGAGCCCAGATCATTGGAGAGGAGCAGTTAGTCCCACCTGCTGGGATCTAATTCAGAACACTGATAAGAATAAAGCTGCTCTAGTGCCCACAATGACATGTCTGCACTAACTAAATATTTTAAACACTATTTTTAAACATTAGTTTAGAATCACTATATGGCCTTCCCAAAGCCTGTATATATTTTTGATTTTGTCTTTCTCGTGGGAAAAATCCAGATACAATCTGTTCTTATAAGTTATCACACATGACATCAATATAAAGCTATTACACAATGCATGCTAAGTAAACTTAACAAAAGTTTCTTACCTGATTCATAGACATTAAAACCTGCTGTAAAGTCATATCTGTAGTCAACGGACATGGTACCATTTCATCTGAAAAAGCAACTACATAGGAATCTTTTTCTGTGTGTGTGACAACCTGAAAAATTCAATGGTAGTAATGATTAGCAAATTTTGGAGAATATATACCTTGAAGTTTATACAACTTCATCTTTAAAAGACAAACTCTGATGCTTACTTTACTTCCAAACTTTTATTACTGTTGTAGAACTATACTATAATAGTAACATAGTTTTCAAAGTACTTTCCACTATTTATTAAAAGAAACTGGCTTTACAATAATCCTCTGAAGCGAATTATACAAGGGTCTTCAAAGTTCATAGAAAAATGCCTATCATGAAAAAGTAAATGGACTTCAAAATTTTTTGCACCAAAATAAACTTATATTTTCCACAAAGTTTTTACAGTACCTTTGCTTATTCTTTTGTTACGTTAGACAAACTACAGGAAAGGTGCACTTGTCTATGGTTCATGTGATCACTATTCAGTGACAGGCTAGAACTGAAGTTTTAAGACTCTTAGTATTTCCCTGATCTTTTAACATTATTTTAAAATATTCTAAACATTATCAATTTACTGAAAAAAAGGATTAATCTTTTAAAATATATATATATATATATAGACAGGCAGAGTGGACAGTGAGAGAGAGAGACAGAGAGAAAAGTCTTCCTTTTGCCTTTGGTTCACCCTCCAATGGCCGCCATGGCCGGCGCACCGCGCCGATCCGAAGGCAGGAGCCAGGTGCTTATCCTGGTCTCCCATGGGGTGCAGGGCCCAAGGACCTGGGCCATCCTCCACTGCACTCCCTGGCCATAGCAGAGAGCTGGCCTGGAAGAGGTTAAAATTTTCTCTTTATGTTGACTTGAAAGAAACAGAGATCTTCCATCCACTGATTTTCTTCCCAAAAGCCTGAACAGATGGGGCTGGCTGGGCCAGGAAAAAGCTAGCAGCCCAGAACTCAACCTGGGTTTCCCATGTGGGTGGCAGGGACCAGAGTACTGGGGCCATCACCTGCTGCCTCCCAGGGTGCACATCAGCAGGAAGCTGGAATTTGGAATCCAGAGTCAAGTTGGGACTGGAATCCGGCACGCTGATGTGGGATGTAGGTATCTCAAGTGGTTCTTAACCACTGCATGCACCAAATGCCTGCCTCTTAATATTTAATCTTATCTTATAAACATTAACACTTCTATTGTGACTGTTCCTTAAGTATGCAATTGCAATATACTTAAGTTTGGTTTACAAAAATTATCTTTAGATATAAAATAAAGCGACAAATAATTTGAAAAGACAAACAAATAAAAGCATAATTCTTGATCATATCTAACTTTATAGTTTCACTCCAAAGTAAAGGTATTTCAGAAGGGCAAAATGCCAGATTGTCTTAGGTGTTCTCACCATGCACATTGCCGCAGCAACTGTACTTGCATTGAGTATACCACCCAATACTCTTTGGTTCATAGACGCACTAACATCAACAGCCAGCAAGAAACGCTTTCCAGTTGGCTCAACTGTCTAAGGAAAGAAAAATCATCAAAAGCAATCAGAAATTATAAGTAAATTTCTTACAAATAAATAATTATTTATCTCAAATATACACAAACATTGCCTAAACACTAGCAACAGCCAGGCCTGTGCAAAACCAAAGCCAGGAGCGAGGAATTACATCAGGGTATCCTCTGTGGATGGCAGGGGCCCAAGAACTTGAGCCATCCTTTGCTGCTTTCTCAGGCACACCAGCAGGGAGCTGCATCAGAAGCAGAGCAGCCAGGACTCAAACCCATATCCCAATGTGGATAACATCATTGCAAGAGGTAGTTTAATTGTCTATGCCATAAAGCCAGCCCCTACATGGGAATTTCTATCCCAAACATTTTGAGCTAAAATGTAACTTCTGATTTCCACTTTCCCCTAGCTTCTGGCACCTTCTAGTCTACTTCTGTCTTCATTTATTTGCTTATCCTGGATATTTCATCTATGGATTCAGAAAATTCTTGTCCTTTTCTGTACATTTCATTTAGTGTTTTCAAGGTTTATCACACTCCGTTCATTTGTAAGGCTGAATAATGACTCCACTATATGTGTGTGTATATATCATGTAGTTTATTCATCTGTTGATGGATAATTGGTTGCTTGTACCTGTGGATTATTGTGATTGATGCTATAAGCACTGGTGTACAAGTATCTGAGTATTGATTTTCAATTCCTTTGGATATATTCACAGAACTGCTACATTGTACTTTCTGAGCACAATTTTACATTCCTTCTAGCAACTAGGTCCTAATTTTTCCACCTTCTTCCCAACATTTGCTATTTTCTTTTCTTTTTGGTAGTAGGCATCCAGTTAGTTGTAAAGTGGTATCTCCCTGTGGTTTTGATTTGCATTTCCCTGATAAGTAATACTGCTGAACATCTTTTCATGTGCTTATTGGTCATTTGTCATTGGAAAAATTTCTGTCAAAGTACTTGGCTCATTTTTAAACTGCACTGATCATATTTTTGCTACTGAATTCTAACAGCTGTTTGTATATCTTCTGGATGCTAAATGTTTATCAGACATATAATCTGCAAATATTTTCTTCCATCTTGGTTATGTTTTCACTCTTGATAGTATCCTTTGGTGTACAAGTTTTAAATTTTGATGTTCAACTTCTCTATTTTTGTTGTTACTACATGTGCTTTTAGGATTCACAGTTTTAGCTTTTAAATTTAAGTCACTGACCCATTATGAACTAGTTTTTGTATAAAGCAAAATGTAATGGTCTAACTTCGATTTTCTATGAGTGGATATGCAGTTTTCCCAGCACTACTTGTTGAAGACTATCTACTTTGTCCATTTAATTGTCTTGGTACTCTTGTCAAAATCAATGGCCCATACATTAAGAGTTTATTTTTGGATGCTTATGTTTTATTTTATTTGTCTGTATGTCTACCCCTGAGTCAGTACCACACAGTTTTCATTAATACAGCACTGTAATAAGTTTTGAAATCCAAAAGCACTGAGTTCTCCAACTTTTTCTCCAAGATTTTGGCCATTCGAGGTCACCAGAGAAATTTCTTGTGAATTGTAGAATGGGTTTTCCTATTTCTTCTAAAATACGCCATTGAGACTTTAAAAAGCAATTATGTTGAATCTGTGTACACTGAATGAAGTGTTGTAATTTTAACATCGTTAAGTCTTCCAAACAAGGAACATGGATGTCTTTCTACTTACTTGTCTTCTTTACTATTTAATATATAATCCTTGCATCTCCTTACGACTGTTACTGTTTTTGATGCTACTATAAGTTGAAGTTTTCTTAATTTCTTTCTTGGGATCTTCATTGCTGGTACACAGAAATACAAATGGTTTTCATGTGTTGGTCTGATACCCTTCAACTTTGTTGAATTTGTTAACTCTAGTAGTTTTCATAGTGGATTCTTTGGGGTTTTCTCCAAATAAGATCATGCTATCAGTGGATGGCAGTAAATTTGTCTTCCTTTCCAACCGGGATGTCTTTTATTCATTCTTTTTCTTGTCTAATTACTAGAACTTCCATTTCCACATGGAATCGAGTGGCAAGAATGGACAACTGGTCCCGATCCTGATGTTAGGGGAAAAGCTTTCAATTTTCCATCATTGTGGAATATGATACTGGTGACAGATCTGTTTTTAACTTTATGGCCTTTATCATATAGAGAACGTCACTTTTACTCCTAGTTTACCAAGTGCTTTTATTTAAACCATGAGTCTTGACATTTTCTTATATTGGACCAACCTTGTAGGCTAGAGGTAAGTATTATTTGGTCTTGCTGTATAATCTTTTTAATTTGCTGCTGAATTTGTTTGTTAATATTTTGTTATATTTCAAAAAAATTTTTAAACTAATAATTTTAACTTATAGCTCTGATTTTGAATTTTCATTTTTAAAAAATTACTTCCTATTAGGACTTTGAGATACATTTATCAATTAAGGAGGAAATAAAAAAAAGAGGACAAAGGACCAAACTCAAACACCCCATAGGAACACAAATTTTCAAACTTAAATTTTTAAAAATGACTGATCAAAATAATCTTAGGAAAACCTGTTATTATTACTCATAAACTTTCAGTGTGAATTATACAACTACCCTCACATGAACTAAGGAAAAAGAAATGACTATCTAATAAAAATAAGTTAAGCTATTAAAACTACCTTTTAGGTATGTTTTCACAAAAGATGCTAAGTCCCAAGTCATTTGGTTTAAAGCAAAAATCATACCATTACCTTAAATGTTTTATAAAAAGCAGCATCCAATGCTTTCAAAATTTCTTCATCAGGTTGCCACTTCAGTTTTCCTCTGAGGCCATGACCTGTTTTGTAAGTTTCTAAAGCAATTAAAATATGAAGTGGATGTATACGAGCCTAGAAACAAGACACAGACAGAAAGTATGTGCCAATTTCAAGAAAAAAATAGTAATTATGTGTCTTAGATTTTTATGCTACTGCAGCTAATACATTTCATAAAGAAAAGAAAAAGGAGGATATATCCTTAGATTTAAGTCAAATGCTGTGTGGTATGACAAATCTCAGGACATATTAAAACATACATTGACCGCATCTAAAATTTAGGAGCCACCTGTTTTAGTGAGTAGTAGCTAAAAAAGGCCAGTGACAATGCTTACCTTTTTTAAAAGTTTTTCATTACACAGTTTTTCACAAACTAAAGATACTTCTGAATTTCCTGGCTCAAGCACTGAGTTAGCAGTCATCTTTCCTAGATTTCTTAGTAATGCAGTAAGAGGCATTTCTTGTAACAAAGCCTTCCATACCTTTTATAACAGACAGAAATGACAAATTAGGGGGAGATGAATCAGTGTTATTAACACAGCTACATCAATAACATTCAGAATATTTCGCTGAAGTCTTTCATTTGGGATTCACAGTATTTTCAAAATGAAAGTTTTTCTTAATTGAAAAAAGTTTATCAAATAAGCTAATTTACTGTCTACTAGAATAAGGAGGTGAAGTACATTTTATAATAGAACTGCATGGATTTTTTTTTAAATCAGCAAGGCAATACATTTTCTGGAGTCGACCTAATACTTATCAAATGCCAACTAAATTTCGGTGTCATGTTAGGTGTTCAAAATAAACATGAATTTTAGGGTCTATTCTAATTTCTCTTTTTCAGGAATAGTTATCCAAAGTTCGTCCTTTTAACATGTACCATAGCAGACTGTAATTTACTCACCTCTTTAGACTTCAAGTGATTGGTCAGAAGATGCTCCCTAACTAACCTGTGTTCTTCTATCAGATGAATGACTTCCAGTTCATCTTTTGTGCGCTTCACTTTCTCTACAGCCTCCAGATACTTTAATAATTTTTCAGACTCCACAGAAAGTGCTTTTTCTTTGTATAATTCATGGACCTCTTTCCAGCCTTTTGTAATGTATTTGGTCACAATGGCAAGTCCTTTAACAAGATAAAGAATTGAAAAGGCAAGTAGGATTACCAAGTAAAAAAATAGAATGTATTTTCTGAGAATACATTATATGATAGGCTTAAGTAGACAGACAGGAGTTATATACAGGAGCTAAATCCCTTAAACTGGGATTCTGTTTTCTGTGATACAATGAACACACTTAAGCAAACAGAGTGAATTAATTTTGGTCATCTTTAGGGGAAACTAAAGCTCCTAATATTTTAAGTAATATTATTTAAAAGACTTCTTGAAATGCCAACATTAGAAACTGTGGCTGACAGTGCCTATCTCTCAGGTCCACAATCTCAGAACAACTGAAAAGCGTACAGATCTGTCTCAATCAATCTTGTATTGACTTGGCCATCTTTGCTGTTGAACAAATATGCATTTATGAATAACAGAGATAAGTGGAATTGGACAAGTTGGTAGGTCTTTTAAAATTGTTTTTTAGTAGCTGAAAAAGTACTACAGGCCAATTTTTTTTAGAGATTTATTTATTCATTTATTTTAAAACCAGAATTAGAGAGGGAGGAGGAGGAGGAGGGAGGGAGAAGAGAGAATTAAAGAAATTGATCTTCCATCTGCAGATTCCCTCCTCAGGTGGCCACTCCCCAAGGGGCTGAAGCCATGAGCTCCATCTGTATCTTCCACATGAATGGCAGAGGCCACCTTTTGATGCTTTTCACAGGCCATTTAGCAGGGAGCTGAGCAGCTGGGGCAGGAATCAGTACCCATATGGGATGCCAGCGCTCAGAGCTACAGCTTTACCCACTATGCCACAAAGCTGGTCACATGGGCAAGTATTTTTAAAAAGGGAAAATAATTTGTTCATTCACTCTATTTCTTTTAACAGAACAGCTCTGGGTTGGGGATAGGAATATTTGGGTTCTACTCTAACTCTGCCAATAAATGGCAGTTTTTCCATGTCTTAGTTTTCACTTTTGAAAAAGAGAGGAATTAATTATCAAGTCCAAACATGCATCACGGCAGAACAAGTAAAATAAAGAAATCAAACAGCCCGTGATGTCACAGCCTGAGGTCTGTGGTAAACTAAACGCAATATTTACTGACAAGTATTTGAGTCAAGCGAAGTGGGAATAGATATTTCTATGACATCTTCTAATTTTTAAAAATATCAAAGAATCCATCCCTTATTCCATTCCCAATATTGTGTAGGTCAAAATGAAACACATTTCTGAGCCTATCTACTAATTTTGAACACTAATAGCTTGTTCTAAAGTTAATAATAACATGCAGGAACTTCTAACATATTGTGACTTTTGTTATTTTCCAGAGTTTGGTACTAAAGGTTCAGTGTTTTATATCTACTGAAGATACAAATTCCTTAAAGCAGTCTTATGCTACCCAGCTCTACAGTTGTGCTACCACACAGTAGGTGCACAACAGATACCCGATTAATTGAATCATACTTTGATGTTATAAATACATATTTAAGTTATAGCATTAAAACACTACTTCCATAGTTTAGTTTATTTCAAAATTGTTTTCTGAGAAGCGGAGGCATCCTTCTAGGTCCAACAGGATACAATTATTAACAACATTTCAAGTAAGAGTTTTGTTCTCAATAATTCAAGAATTCAAATTGTTACGCCATTAGGTTGAAAAAGGCCCTTTTTAGGAGCCAGCGCCGTGGCAGTGCTAAGCCACTGCCTACCATGTAGGTAGCCCAGAGGAGGGCCAGTGTGTATCCCGGCTGCGCTATTTCTGATCAAGCTTCCCGCTAATGCACCTGAGAAAGCAGCAGTGATGGCTCAAGTAGTGGGGTCCCTGCCATCCATGTGGAAGACCTGGAGAGAGTTCCAGGCTCCTGGTTTAGGCCTGGCCCAGCCCTGGCTATGGTGGCCACTGGGGGAGTGAATCGGGGGATTTAAGATCTCTCTCTGTCTCTTTCTCTCTCTCCCCCCATAACTCTGCCTTTCCAATAAATAAAATAAAATAAAAAAAGAGAAAAAGGCCATTAAATCTACTAAGAAGTCTACGAAGACACAGGTGAGCTCAATCACATTAAAGTCCCAAACGTTGGGGCAAACAGAGTGGTGCAGTCAGTTACAGCCTCCTGTAACAGCAGCATCTCGTGAGTGCTGCTTCAATCCTGAATGCTCCACTCTGACAGCGCCCTGCGCTCCCTGCGAATGCCCAGGAAAGCAGCGGGAGATGGCCTAAGTACTTGGGGCCCCTGCCACCCATGGGGGAGACCTGAATGAAGCCTGTGGCTCTTGGGTCGGGCCTGGCCCAGCTCTAGCCATTGTGGTCATATGGGAGTGAACTAGTCGATGGAACATCACTGTTTCTCCCCCTCTCTCTGTTAACTCTGCCTTTCAAATAAATAAATAAATCTTAAAAAAAAAAATTCTCAACTTCAACCTACTGTAAACACCTCCAGGCATTTTAAAAAAAGTACATGACCAAAAAGTGGGGGGAAATGCACATCATGTACATAAAAAATGATTAAGCTCTATATTTAATAAATGTATAAAGTATTTAATAAATGGTTACTATTATCAGTATTAAAAATAGTAACTAAACACACAAAAGGACCATGATACAATAACATAATCCATACACACAAAAATATAAAATACTCTTAGTAAGCACATAAGGAGATGTGCTGTGGCCCAAAAATGTAAATTTGAAGAACAAGACAGGGTTTTTCATCTAGCCTACTGGCAAATATTAAAAAAACAAACAAACAAAGTTTAAATGTGGACAAACTGGCCACTCTGACCTTACTTAAAAAAAAAAAAAAAAAAAGATTTATTCTTGGGGCTAGCACTGTGGCTTAGTGGGCTAAGTCTCTGCCTGTGGTGCTGTCATCCCATTTGGGTACGATTCATGTCCCAGCTGCTCCTCTTCTAATCCAGCTCTCTGCTTATGGCCTGGGAAAGCAGTGAAAGATGGCTGAAGTCCCTGGACCCCTGCACCCTCGTCGGAGAACTGGAGGAAGCGCCTGGCTCCAGATTGCCTCAGCTCTGGCCACTGCAGCCATTTGGGGAGTCAATCAGTAGATGAACACCTTTTCTTTTGTCTCCTGTTCTCTATAACTCGATTTCTCAAATAAGTAAATAAAATCTTTAAAAGATTTATTTTTATTATTTGAAAAGCAGAGTTACAGAGAAAGGAGGAAAGACAGAGAGACTGTCCATCCTCTGGTTCACTCCCCATATGGCCACTTTGGCAGGGGCTGGGCCAGGCCAAAGCCAGCATCCTAGAGCCTCCTCTGGGTCTTCCCTGTCAGTGCAAAGGCCCAAGTCTGCTGCTTTCCCAGGCACCTTAGAAGAGAGCTGGATAGGAAGCAGGGCAGCCAGGACTCAAATCCTGTGCGGGAAGCCGGTGTTGCAGCCAGAGGGCTAACCTGCTACACCACAATGCTGGTTTAACCGGTATAAAAATACTTACCCCATGCAAGTTTGTTCACTGCAGTGTTTTTGACAGTATAAACAACTAGAAGCTTAACTCATTAATAAGAGACTAGCTAAGTAAGTTATGGTATATTCACACAATATATAACTGTTTCTACTGACCTGAAAAAATATCAGTAATACACTTAACTGAAACAAGAAGGTTTATTAAAAAAAACTTAGCAAAAAATCTGGAATAATATACGTCATACTTTCTGCACATTTTTTCTGTTGTCCAACCATTTTAAAATACGTGATCTCTAACATAAAATCAAAATAAAGCTTTTGCATATATAAATATCTATAAATTTCATTTGGAAAAGGCCCAGAGTCAAAAAATAATAAACTAAGAGATTCTGTGCATAAAGATATCATGATACAATGTATGCAGAGGGAGTAAAACAAGAGTACACATCTACTGCACCCTAGGACTTGGATATGCTGAGTCAGCATTTGAATATACATTACCATATTTCAGTCACAGGAACTTTAAGGGTTTGTTCCCTTTCCCCTTTATAAAAGATGAAGGCACAATGACTCAAAAAGGTTGTTATTTGGCTTTAGGACACAAAGTAATAGTCATATCTAAAATTTGAGTGGCTGTCTTTAGTTCATTCTTCATATTATTCCAGTCCCACAGTTTTTATCTCCCTCCTAAGAAGGACCAATCAATATAGATCCAATTAAGTTCTCAAAAATAGGAATAGAAAAACTGCCCCCAGTTACCATGTCCCCTGGCTGACTGCTTGGAGACAATTAACATCCTGAATTGTTAAGTTCAGCACTATTTCAGGTAGCCTTTAGGTTCCATGGAACATATGTCCTAGGAAGACAGGGAGGGAAAAAATGGTAAGAGGATAGAGCAGTACAGCCTGGCTACCTGCCACCTTTGGGCAAAGAACTGTTCCGCTACAACTTTAATCTTGTCCATGTTGCATTCACAGCCCAGAATCACTTGAGTGAGCATTCTAGTAAGCATGGTGACATTTCCAGATTTAGAATATTAACCCACAAATCTATCATTTGATTCTTGATTATTAATGTCTAGACTGGCTGTTGTTCATGATTCAGTTTGGCTTTAATCATGTTTGAATTAATCAGTGCACAATTTAAGAATGAAAGCCATTTCTAAAAAATATTACACAATTATCTGTTATTGGGTACTCGCTGCTCCCCTCTCCCCCGAACACCTTGAACTTACCTTCACTAGAAGGTTTAAGATGCGACAATCGTAAGAGATCTTTGTGAGACCAGCCATTTCTCTGTTTATATTTCGTAACTGCCAGAGCAAGGGCCATGCCGCCTTTCTCATTGTACCAGTCTGCAACTGCCTTCCGCAGAGCACGCCCCCACATGCCACACTTCATGCTTTCCTTTAGATCCTTCTTAAACTGAATAAAAGTAAAGAGATGTGTAGGAACGCGACAAACTTCGGAGACAGCTTTGAACGCCGCTTGCTTGGTGCCTATGTCGGAACACTGGGAACAGATGGCAAGCGCAAAGAGCACGGGCTCCTGCTTTGTGGTTCTGCCTTCTTGACTAAACAGCTTGATTTCCTGTATCACTTCACAGCCTCTGCCATCTTCAATCAATCTGATTAAAGCTTCGGCATTTTCAAGGCCCAACTTCTGTTCTTTGATATAGTAAGTCCCACCTTCAGAACCAAAGCAGAGGAACCGGTGTAGTCTGTTCATGTCAGTGACTTGCCATACACATCCGTCTTCAGAACTGGCTATCTGCTTCTCATTCAGAGGGTGCATTTGGTGTGCAGATGCCTCCATTTCTGCTTGTAGGAAACCTGCCCAAAAAAGCAAAATGTTATTATGACTAGACAGAATACAATTATACAAAGGAAAACAATATTTATTAATTGTATACTTATTGAAATCTGTTATGGAATCTTTTTTTTTTTTTTTTTGACAGGCAGAATGGACAGTGAGAGAGAGAGACTGCGAGAAAGGTCTTCCTTTGCCGTTGGTTCACCCTCCAATGGCCACCGCGGCCGGCACGCTGCGGCCAGTGCACCACGCTGATCCAAAGCCAGGAACCAGGTGCTTCTCCTGGTCTCCCATGGGGTACAGGGCCCAAGCACTTGGGCCATCCTCCACTGCACTCCCAGGCCACAGCAGAGAGCTGGCCTGGAAGAGGGGCAACCGGGACAGAATCCGGCGCCCCGACCGGACTAGAACCCTGTGTGCCAGCGCCGCAAGGCGGAGGATTAGCCTAGTGAGCCGCGGCGCCGGCCTGTTATGGAATCTTAAGATTTTACTTGAAGGGCAGAGTTAAGAGAGTGAGAGCAAGAGAAGAACCAAAAGTCAGAGTTAGAGAAACAGAGAGATCTTCCGTCTCCTGGTTCACGCCCCAAATGGCCACAAGGCCAGGGACTGGGCCAGGCTGAAGTCAGGAGCCCTGAACTCCATCTGGGTCTCCCACACGGGCGGCAGGATCCCAAGTATTTGGGCCATCTTCTGCTGCTTTTCCCAGGGGCATCAGAAGGAGATTCCTGGATGTCCCTATCCTAACTTAGTCTTAACCATTTTTCAGTTTTGTTTTCAAACAAAAAACCTTTGAGAAGACTACCAGCTCCACAAGCGATGGCTCCTTAACTGACAATTCCAGCAAAACGTTTATCTTAGTTCAAGCTTTACACTATGTTTTAAATTTCTAGCCTCTCCCTTAGTTTCCAGAAAAACTCTCTCTGCCTATCCTTCATGAGTTTACTCCAGCGTATTGTTACGCTGTTAGAACAACACTGAAATCACACTTAATATTAGATTATTTGACCAGACCTGCTTGCCTTGCACCAAGGCCACAGGTGGATCTCAAGGTCCCAATCCAAATCTCAAAATCCCAGTCAATTATTTCCCTTCTACTGCTTCCTGTGACCATGTTTAGTTATATCACTGCTGCCTTTGAGAGCAAGAAAACAGCTCTTACTATTAAGTAATTAGTAATATTCAAGGATAGCTAAAGAGCATTAAAGGCGATTTTCTGAACCATTTGCTTACAAATTAGGTACAACTGGTGCCCTTTCCTGAAACACATTTACTTTACATTTAAGTCAAATTCCGTAATCAGAATAAACAAATTATATGCAAATGATGGAAACACAACCAGGAGAAATGAAAAAGTTAGAAGAAGTAATGAGTACCATGTAAAACTGTCATGTCAAGAAATGGTATTGGTTAAGTTTAGTATTACCTATTCAGATATCTATTGAAGAGCAACTAGCTCAATCAGTTTTCTAAATCTAGGAAGGATGCTCGAGCGAGAGCTGGAGTCAGAGAACTGGTATTAGAAAAGACACCAAAGCTGCTAGTGACAAATTAAAAAAATAAACTGGACTTTATCAAATTTGGGTTTCAAAGGATACCACCTAGAAAATAAAATAGTAACTCATGGACTACAGAAAATATCTGCAAATCATATACATGGTAAGAAACATATCTATGGGCCAGCGCCGCGGCTCAATAGGCTAATCCTCTGCCTGCGGTGCCGGCACACCGGGTTCTAGTCCGGTCGGGGTGCCAGATTCTGTCCCGGTTGCTCCTCTTCCAGGCCAGCTCTCTGCTGTGGCCAGGGAGTGCAGTGGAGGATGGCCCAAGTGCTTGGGCCCTGCACCCGCATGGGAGACCAGGAGAAGCACCTGGTTCCTGTCTTCAGATCAGTGTGGTGCGCCGGCCGCAGCGCGCTGGCCGCGGAGGCCATTGGAGGGTGAACCAACAGCAAAGGAAGACCTTTCTCTCTCTCTCTCTCACTGTCCACTCTGCCTGTCCCCCCCCCCCCAAAAAAATCTATTATATATAAACAACACTTATGTGTCAATAATGAAACCAAAAAATTCAATCAAGAAAATAAGCTAAAGACTGAAGCAGGCGTTACTCCAAAGAACACACTGAAACCGGCCAAGACTCTGATCAGGCACCTCTCTACAGGAGATTTCAAGTGACCAAAAATGACGTTAGAGCACTAGTCATCAGGGAAATGCAAATCAAAGCCATAAACTTTACATAACTACTACACTGGCTACACTCAGAGTGCTCATGAAGATCTGGGGAAACTAACGCTCATACACCACTGGTGGAACTACAAAATGATGCAGCCACTTTGGAAAACAGTAGGGCTGCTTCCTGAAAAGGTTACAGTTACCAAAGACCCAGGAATTCCACTGCGTACCCAAGAGAAATGAAAACATGTCTGTACAAAAACTCAATGTTATTATTGATACTACTGTAAACTGTCAAAAATTGGAACCAGCCCAAATCTCCATCAACTGAAAATTGGATTTAAAAAATGTGATCTATTCATACAAGACTATTAGGAGAGATTTTCAAAAATTTTGTGGAAAAATGCTCATAACAAAAATTATACACAGGATTTCAAAAATTCCTTTGCATTAAAATTGACTCATCTTTTAAACCCATTTTTCCATGAACTTTAAAAGTACCTTGTATTTAGCAATAGAAAGTCATGAAGTACTGAAACATGCTACGATATGAACAAATCTTTAAAATATTATGCCAAGTAAAAGAAGCCAGTCACAACAGGCCACAAATTGTATGATTCCATTTATGTGAACATTCCAGGGTAGATGGAGCTATAGAAATAAAAAAACACAGGGCCGGCGCTGTGGCTCAGTCAATGCCCTGGCCTGCAGTGCCGGCATCCCATGTGGGATGTTGAGGCCCCTCTTGCATTCCAGCTCTCTGCTGTGGCCTGGGATAGCAGAAGACGGCCCAAGTCCTTGGGCCCCTGCACCAGCGTGGGAGACCCAGAAGAAGCTCCTGGCTCCTGGCTTAGGATCGGCGCAGCTCTGGCTGTTGTGGCCAAATGGGGAGTGAACCATTGGATGGAAGCCCTCTCTAACTCTTTCAAATAAATAAAATAAATTAAAAAAATAAAGTATATTAGTGGTTGCCTGAGGCTGGGGTTAGAAGTGAAATCTGGGACGTGACTAATGGAAGGGATTTTTGAGAGGTGATGAAAATATTCTGAAATTAGATAGTAGTGATGGTAGCACAACCTGCATTGGTTACTGTTAAAACTGCAAAATTTCATATGTAAATTATATCCTAAAAATGTATTTTAAAATGGAAAAAAAGCTGGCTAGGCGTTTGAAAAGTTATTTAAAATAAGCATACTTATGTAACTCTGCTATCTACACCAAAGGTATAGCAGTAATACTGATGAGGCAAACAGGATATTTACTCCTACATTTTTAATATTTGACTTCAGAGATCAATTTGAGATGCACAGACATCCATAGCATTTAATTTCTTCTATCCCCAACTGCCACGGTTTCCCTCAAAGCTTAAGGTCCACTATCTTTGGTTTAGAGGGCAATTGGGCAGGGAGTGGCTCAGAGCAATCCAAACTCATACACAAACACACACAATATATATACTCCACCTCTTCGTTTTTGCCTATCCTGGCTAGTGCTTGGAAAACACATCACTCCAAAGAATTTAATATAACTGAAATTGTACCAAGTCTCTATAAATTAAAAATTTGGAGAGAAATTAAAAGATCACAGTGCCATTAAAAGCATGGTCATGGGGCTGCACTGTAGCATAGCGGGTGAAGCAACCACTTGCAGTGCTGGCATCCCATGTGGACGCCAGTTCAAGTCGCGACTGCTCCACTTCTGATCCTGCTCTCTGCTATGTCCTAGGAAAGCAGGAGGGGATGGCCCAAGTCCTTGGGTCCCTGCACCTGTTTGGGAGACCCGGAAGAGGATCCTGGCTTTGGATTCAGTGCAGCTCCGGCCGTGGCAGCAATTGGGGAATGAACCAGAGGATGGAAGACCTCTCTCTCTCTGCGTAACTCTGCCTTTCAAATAAATAAATCTTAAGGCATGGCCACATTTTAAATTAGTTGTGCATATTTTAGGTATCTCTCATTGCTTTCTTGACTTCAGAAAGCAAAGTCAACAAATTTGAGTAGAACACGTGAAGGCATTTCCTTCCGCTTCACGTTCATTAGAACACAGTTAGGATTTCTTACCAGTACTAACAATGTTATTCTAAAGCAGCCCTACATTTTTCTTGAAATCACACATCTGAGTATTTTTTGCATGTTTCTTCATAATCTGTCACATGAAAAATTAACCAGGAAGTGGTGTTAACATTTTTGTTTCACATTTAATCCACAGGGCTCGCATAAAAAGCCAGATTTATGGATCATTGAGAAAAATGAGAGGATCCAGCAGTGGTAGGTTCACTGCTGGACAACCAGTCGGCTGCTCCTCTCTGACAGCCGTGCCCATCCTGGTCAGCCAGCTCCTCACCAGGTTTTATCCTGTCGAACTTCACTCACTCCACAGACTGCCATCACCAGTCTACTGGGCAGGCATTTACATTTTTGGCCCCAGTTTTTCTAAGATTGCTTTTATTTTATTATTTTGTACTCTTTCATAGATGTAAAAGAGCTTTGACTTTATTTTAAAAGGAATAATAAGCTGCAAACTGAATTGACTTTTTCCAGAGGAGCCTCCTCTGGCTCCCGGGGAGGGCGGGCGGCAGGGCCCACGCACCTGCGCCGTCTCGCACCTGGTCGTCCGGGAGGGTCCTCGGGCTCGCGGGGTGGACAGGCAGCAGGGGCCCACGCACCTGCGCAGCCTCCCACCTGGTCGTCCGGGAGCGTCCTCCGGCTCCCCGGGGTGGGCGGGCGGCAGGGCCCACGCACCTGTGCCGTCTCGCACCTGGTCGTCCAGGGCATCCTCCGTCTCCCCGGGGTGGGTGGGCGGCAGGCCCCACACACCTGTGCCGTCTTGCACCTGGTCGTCCGGGAGGGTCCTCGGGCTCGTGGGGTGGACAGGCAGCAGGGGCCCACGCACCTGCGCAGCCTTCCACCTGGTTGTCCGGGAGCGTCCTCCGTCTCCCTGGGGTGGGCGGGCGGCAGGGCCCACGCACCTGCGCCGTCTCGCACCTGGTCGTCCGGGAGGGGAGCGTCCTCGGGCTCCCCAGGTGGGCGGGGGCAGGCCCCACGCACCTGCGCCGTCCTGCACTGCCATCCGTCCTGCACTGCCATCCGGGGCGCATTAGCAGGGAGCCGGATGGGACTCCCACCGGCGCCCGGGCGGGATGCCGGGGTCCCAGGTGGCGGCCACCACGCAGGCCCCACAGTAGAGTGAGCCGGCCCCTAACGGCTTCAGCTGCAGGTACTCTAACCCTCAGCCAGCTCACTCGCTGCCTGGCGCGTTCCTAGCTCCCAGCCCCCGCCAAGGGCACCTGTTCGAGACGCAGACACCGGGGAGTTTACCTCCGCAGGTCTTTTATTTTTTTTTTTTCCTTAAATTTTTTTATTGGTTATCACAGGTTGTGTAACATTTGGATAGACCGGGCTAAAGAGAGATTTCCCTTTTCTAATGTGGGGCATCCAGAGTGGTATGAGGGGCTTGCGCCACATTTCTCAAGACTGCTCACATGCACATCCTGAGAGCCGCGGAGAATTTTTTGCTGGAAGGGTCTTGGAGGCAGGCTTTCTGCACAGGGCCGCGCCGCCCGGGGGCCGGCCCCGCGGGGACAGCTCTGTTAGGGGCGCACTCCCTCGGAGCCGCGCGGGACGACGCCCCTTCCCCGCGGCTTCGCCTCGCCGGGCGTCGCCCCACAGACCCTGCCTCCGAATCCCGGGCAACGCCCGTGCGCGCGGCGGCCGCGGGAGGAGCAGGAGGAGGGCGAACGCGGGCCCGGGCAGCTGCGCCGAGCGACGCGGCCCTGCGGCGACGCCGGGGCCGGACCGCGCGCGGGGTCAGCGCGCGGCGGGCGGCCTCGGGACATCGCGGGACAGACCGCGCCGTGGCCTCACCTGTGACTCTCCGCAGCCGCAGCGCCGCCGGCAGAAGCCCCGCTCAGCGCCAGGAAACAAGCAGCGGCGGCGGCCGGACTGGCGGCCACTGTCCAGGCCCACGGCCGCGGCGGCGTCCAGGTTCAGGTCCCCGGAATGCGCCCCGCCCCCGCGCGGCGAGGACCCCGGATGTTACCGCCTCCTGCGCTCCGAGTCCCCGCCCTTTCTGCCGAGGCTCCGCCCCTTCCTCCGGGTCCCGCGAGGCGCGGAGTTTCGTCGTCTCCTGGGCGGCTAGAGCGTCATCCCGCGCCCCGTCGCGCTCCGGTGACGGCGCCCGGAGGCTGTCGGGAAGTAGGCGGGGTGACGTGGGTCTGACGCGCTCCGCGGCGGGTTTGCGAGATCTGGGGCTGGCGGCAGCTGGTGCTGGCTGGCGGCTGCCGAGAGCGAGCGGCGGAGCGGGGCGGTGTGTGGCCGGGGACATGACGGGCAATGCCGGGGAGTGGTGCCTCATGGAAAGCGACCCCGGGGTCTTCACCGAGCTCATTAAAGGATTCGGTGAGAACCCAGGGGGGCCGTCCTGGGCCGGCGGGCTCGGGAGGAGGCCCGTGCTGGGCACGGCCCCCGCCGCCCCGCGTCAGCCGGGAGCCTGGAGTCGGGGACGGGGAAGTGGGGGGCTTCGGGGGCAGCCGGCTCTCCCGCCCCACGAGGGCCGGGATCGCGCCCGGCTCCGGCGTGCTGGGCGCCCAGAGCTCACCTGTCTTGCCGCCGGGCCGGTGCGGGCAGGTGCGCGGCCCGGGGCCGACCCGGCCTGGCCAGAGCGGCCCGGGGGGTCGAGGTTTCCCCTCTTGCAAGGCAGCGTCTCCCGAGCGCCGGGGGGCCCCGCGGCCCGAGCCCCGAGCCCCTGCTCCCTGGTGGTTGCTGGCTTCCGGTGCAGCGCGTTGTCTTGAGCTGAGACCCACATGGCTGTCCTGTTCTGTAGCTTTGCTGGTGGCCTGCCGCCCGATCAACACGGATGACTCGGTCCGTCCTCTGAAGGGCCTGCTCCTCTTGTTCCGAGCCTTGGCTTTGGGCGGGGGGTTTATTTTTCTCTGTTGTGACGCCTCAGGTGGCGTTAGTGCTAGCTGCGCTGTTCAAACTTGCACCTGGGGCCGGGCCTTGGCCTAGCTGTTAAAGACGCCCGGGCCCCCTCTGCGCCGCCCCGAGAGGATTCTGGGCCCCGGCTCCCTGTCCGCGCACACCCTGGAGGCAGCGGGTGGTGACTCAGGTTCCTGGGTGCCGGCCATCCACGTGGGGCACCCCGATTGAGTGCCCGGCCAGTGCAGACATGTGGGCAGTCAGTGCATGGGAGTGCTGGCCGCCTGGCTGGCTGTCTCTCTGCCTCTGAAAGCTTGAGTTAGCAATTAAATGCTGTTAAGAATATTGTCTACAAAGCTGAATATTTGGAATATCACTTATCAAGTATGTGTTGTTCACTTTATCTGGGACGTACTGAAAAAAAGTTGAAAATCTTTAACGCGAGTAAACCATGAATGAGTGCTGACAGATTAGTGTGTTAACACTGTTAAGCACATGTACAAAATGTTAGAAGAACACAAGTCATGGCAGAACATAGGCAGAAGGAAACGGTAGTGCTGTTTTATGTTTACGACATAAGGAACAGCTGGCAAACTGACGACGGACTGGAATGCCTTAGGAGAGTATTTAGTTTTAAGTTGAAAGATGAACGGGCCAGGTTGTATGCCATCCTGTGTAGTTTTGATTGCTCTGTCGTCATTGTGGACTTTATTGTCAAAGATATTTGAATGATAAACTGACAATTTTTTTTTTAAGATTTATTTATTTGAAAGGCAGAGGTACAGAGAGGCAGAGAGAGAAGGTCTTCGATCTGGTTCACTCCCCAGATGGCCACTAGGGCCAGAGCTGAGCCAGTGTGAAGCCAGGAGCTTCTTCCAGATCGCCCATGTGGGTGCCGACGCCAAAGCACTTGGGCCATCTTCTGCTTTTCCAGGGCATATTAGAGAGCTGGATCGGAAATGGAGCAGCCAAAATTCGAACTGGCACCCATATAGAATGGTGGTGTCTGTACGTGCTATGCCACAGCACCAGCCCCAATATTATTTTTTGATTACAGTTTTCTCTGCCTGTAATGTGCAGGGTGGATTGGGAAGAAGTGGTCTCCCAAAACGGTCAGAGTCTGAGGTCACTGGCTGTCTTGACATAATGTCGTGAGTTAGTGGAGGAGACAGAATCAGTAATTGTGCTGTGTTTAAATCATCAGTTGCATGTGGAAATGCCTTCTCCTCATTCCTTTGGAGCAGGACAACATCCATAACATGCTATATTAACAAAGGAGTTCTCAGGGCTGCCAACCTTACAGTAGAGGTTGAGTGGTAGTATATTTCTCCTACACAAGAGAAAAAGGTCAGCAGGACTGCTGACTGACTAGATGTGGAGAAAGAGAAGTGACAATAACTCCATGGTTTCTAGCTTGGGTGACTGATGAAGTAAAATTATAACAGTACGGGCTTGACATGCAAGAAAATTGGTTCAGTTTTGAATATACACTGAGTTTGAGGTGTTTCCAGGCTTAGCTGTACATTTTATCTTCAAAAACCTTAACTGTTAAACAAAAAAAAAACTTATGACATGTTAAAGTTAGCTATCAAAAATACTGTACTGTGTAATTTCAATTCAGTTCATTAATAGCTATTGCTTTAATTTGCCATGTACAGAAAACATGGAATTGAAAATGGTTTAAAGAGTGATGCATGTTCTAAATGTACACCCTACACTTGCACATGTTTATATGAAAAATAAAGCAATAGCTTTTAATGGATTGGTTTTGTTCAAAGAAGAATTTTGCAAAGAATCAAATGATGGTAATATACCATCATCAGATGTGTCAAAGGAAAAATTTTATTTCAGTAATTTCAATTTTTTTCATTTAATTTATGGATTTAGAAAACTTTTGGAAGTTGATTCTTTCAAAGCTAAAACATTGGATTGTTTTGTGAATGCTATTGTAAATTCATATTAAAAGTTCTGACATTGGATGGGAAATTGTGATGTAGAGACTATATAAATAGAAATTTTGGTGGAATATCAAAACAGAATTTTTGTTGAGAAACTAGTGGAGAAATTTTTGTTGAACTGTACTTTTAATGAATTTTTTGCATACGTAATATATAAACATAACACAACAAACAGTGATGGTCTGCTAATAGAATAAAAGTTTTGGGGGCAGTTCTTTGACCTGGCAGTTAAGAGGCTGATTTGAATGTCTGTCCCACCCCGGAGTACCTGAACTTGGTGCCTGTTTCCAGTTTCCTGATAACGAAGACCCAGGGAGCCAGCAATGATGGCCCAAGTGGTTGAGTCCTGCCACCATTTGGAGACTAGAGGCTCCGAGGTTGGGAGCACTGGCCTTTGCAGGCATTTGAGGAGGAGACCAACAGATGGAAGCCTTCTCTGTTTATGTGTGTCTCTGAAGAAAATACATAAGTATATTTTTTAAAAGAATAGATGCAGGCCGGCGCCGTGGCTCACTAGGCTAATCCTCCACCTGCGGCACCGGCACACGAGGTTCTAGTCTCGGTCGAGGTGCCAGATTCTGTCCCGGTAGCTCCTCTTCCAATCCAGCTCTCTGCTGTGGCCCAGGAAGGCAGTGGAGGATGGCCCAGGTCCTTGGGTCCTGCACCCGCCTGGGAGATCAGGAGAAGCACCTGGCTCCTGGCTTCAGATCAGCGCGGTGTGCTGGCCGCAGTGAGCATTGGAGGGTGAACCAATGGAAAAGGAAGACCTTTCTCTCTGTCTCTCTCTCTCACTGTCCACTCTGCCTGTCAAGAAAAAAAAATAGATGCAGTTAATTTCTGCCTCTAGGCAAGATGGAATAATGGGGGCTAGATTTACTTCTCCTACAACAAACCAATGACCCCAGCTTTCATTTTATTTTTTATTTTACTTTTAAACATATATTTATTTATTTGAAAGAGTTACACAGAGAAGGAGAGGCAGAGAGAGAAGTCGTCCATCCGCTGGTTCACTCCCAAGTTGCCTGCAACTACTGGAGCTGCACCCATCCAAAGTCAGGAGCTTCTTCCAGGTCTCCCATGTGGGTGCAGGGGCCCAAGGACCTGGGCCATCCTCTACTGCTGGATCAGAAGTGGAGCAGCCAAGACCGAAACGGGCACCTGTATGGGATGCTGGCACTGCAGGTGGCGGCTTTACCTGCTATGCCACAGTGCTGGCCCCCAGCTTTCATTTTAAGGAACTAGAAAATGGAAAGCGCATTGTAAACTAAAGTAATCAGTTGAAAACCAATAATGGAGATCAGAATTGAAATTAGTGAAGCAGAAGGTTAAAAAACATTGGTGAAACCAATGCAAAAGCTTTTTGAGATGAATAGAATTTGGTAAACCTCTGGGCCGACTGATTAGAAAAAAGAGAGGAGACAAATTACCAATATAGGAATGAGAGAGATAACATCACTGTAGATTCTACAGATACTAAAAAGATAATAAAGGAATATTATGAACAACTCTATGCCAATAAATATATGGAATGTTTAGATTCCTGAAGGACTCAAAACTGTCTCAAACATAATAACCTATGTTTGTTAAAGAAATTGAACTTGTAGTTTAAAATCTTCCCATAAAGAAACTAGCCAAGATAGTTTCACTGGTAATTCTGCCAAGTATTTAAGGAATAAATCGTAACAGTTCTATACAGATACATCCCAAAAAAATTAAAGAGGAAGAAATACTACCCAGTTCTTGAGGGCCAGCATTACCCTGATGCCAAAACCAAAGACTACGAGAAAGCTGTAGATCCAAATTTTGTTTTTTAAAGATTTAATTTAATTATTTGAAGTCTCCCTGAATGGCTGCAATGGCCAGGACTGGGCCAGGCCAAAGCCAGGAGCCAGGTGTCCAAATTAGGTGCCAGGGCCCAGGCACTTGGGGCATCTGCTGCTGCTTTCTCAGGCACATTGACAGGGAGTTGGATCAGAAGTGGAGCAACTTGTTAAATTTAACAACAGGAGTCATTGTGCACTAACTTCCCACGTAGGACCTCTGTTTTCAAAGAGTTGTGTTATGAGAGTTAACAGTAAAACTTGTCCTCAAAGATTTATTTCGTTTTAGTGTATTAATAAGTGGAGGATATTCTTATGTATCTAAGTTTTAGTTATGCTTCAGTGTTCAACTCCATTGCTGCTTTTCTTAGGTGCTTCCTTAGCTAATGATAAAACTTGTTCTCAAGGACTTCCTTTCTTTTAATGTATTAAGTGGAGGATATTATGTCTCATGTTATAGTTATGTCTAAATGCTTGCAAAAGGTCTATCATTCTTGGGTGCTTCTTTAAAGTTAACTAAGTTTCTAATAAAAAGTGAAATTAACGTTGAGATGCAATGACTTTGAACAGCCCTTGTCTCGACTATTGAGGAACAGTTGTTTTTTTTTTTCCTTTTTTTGGTGCAAATTGTTGAATTCTCTTAGTTAAGAGTTGGTCTTCTGTGTATTAAGTTAATTGAAAATGGATCTTAGTGGAGAATGGGAGTGGCAGTGGGAGAGGGAGGAGTGGAGAAGGGATGGGAGTGTGGTGGGAGGGCGCGTACGGTGGGAAGAATCTCTGTATTCCTAAAGTTGTACTTAACGAAATGCATGAAGTTTGTATTCTTTTAAATAAAGTGTTTCTTTGAGGGGGGAAAAAAGTGGGGCAGCTGGGTCTTGAACCTCTGCCCATATGGGATGCTGGCATTGCAGGCAGCAGCCTAACCCACTTAGCCAAAACACCAGCCCTAGACCTAACTCTAACATCAACATAAATATAAAAAATCTGAACAAAATTTTAGCATATATTATGTTAAAAGAACAATATATCATGCCTAAGTGGAGAATTCAGGGTTAGTTTAACATTTGAAAATCATTGAAAGTCATCATTATAATAAATTAAAAACCAGGTCATTCTGTTATTAGATGCAAAAAGCAGTTGAGAAAGTCTAACAGCCATTGAGAATTATGGGCTGTTAGATTTTGTCCTGCTTGCCAAGTTGCAGTTGGACTTGTCAGTGTCATAGATGCTGCCAGGCAGCTTTGATCTAGAGCTAAGGGAGTGTACGACTCCCGCTAGGCAGCAAGAGAGTCACGTTTGCAGGGATTCCCTTTTGTTACAAGTCCGCGGTGATGGAGGTGGGCCCAGAAGGATGCTGCACACACAACAAGTCTGTTCTAAGGAATTCTGAGCTTAGAGAACTTGCAGTTATAAAGGGGCTGGCTAACAAGCCTCCTCAACTTCTGCTTCTGCAGAGATATCTTTGTTATCCCAGACAGAAAAGAGGACTTCTTTCTGCTCTGGATACCCTATCTCTATCTTCCAATGCTTTGCAGTTTGAACATTCTTGAAAAGGTGGCCCAGAGGGAAGAGTGGTTTTTCTCAGAAGACATGCAGAGACAGGAGAGACCTCAGCAGTATCTACCCTTTGTGCACCACGTAGGCTATTCCTGTGATTAAACAGTCTGATACGAGTGACAGGGCTGGTAATGGTTTCTGTTGCCTTCACATTAGAATGCCAGGTGGCTTTCTCTTTTCATGTTTGTGTTGACCTGTCCTCTTGGCTGAAGGCATTAATCCAGGTACAGTAGGGTGTATTAGGGATTTTGCATGACTTGGCATGAAGGAGCAAGTCTGGAGTAACTCCATCATCTGTGACAACTCTGACCCATGTGTTAAGGCAGAACTGCATGACTTCTGGAACCAAGGTGATTTCTTAATATGGAGGTCTATTATGATTGCTTCTAAGTTATGTTTCACCTTATTTTGAAGACGGAGTCAAGTTCATGCCTGACTTTACACGAGAAGTAGAAGTACAGCTTTGGGAATGCATATTTTGTCCCAGGAAGTAAATGTTGCTTACAACTGTTGGGACTCCTAAATGCAATTATCTCAGTTGAGGGATTCAGTTAACAGAGTCTTCAGTTTAGGGCTCCCAATTCAGTTCAACTGATTGTCTAGTCCTGGTTTTTACAGAGGCTGAGTCGTGTCAGTCCAGTTTTTCATATTCACATCCCCAGGCAAATGGCATTTGTACCAGGGGTAACTGGGAATAGGATTGCTGAAGAAATCTGTAAGTGTTTTTTGTGGGAGCGTGAAAGCTAAGGGCCTCTCTACAGCTTCTGGTAGACCAATTGGTGAGGTTAGGAGAATGTTAATCCAGTTGTCAAAACTCATGGGAGATAGCATACTTAGTGATTTATTTATTTTTGACAGGCAGAGTGGATAGTGAGAGAGAGAGAGAGACAGAGACAGAGACAGAAAGGTCTTCCTTTGCCGTTGGTTCACCCTCCAATGGCCGCCGCGGCCGGCGCGCTGCGGTCGGCGCACTGCAGTGATCTGAAGGCAGGAGCCAGGTGCTTCTGGTCTCCCATGGGGTGCAGGGCCCAAGCACTTGGGCCATCCTCTGCTGCCTTCCCAGGCCACAGCAGAGAGCTGGCCTGGAAGAGGGGCAACTGGGACAGAATCCGGTGCCCCGACCAGGACTAGAACCCCATGTGCCGGCGCCGCTAGGTGGAGATTTAGCCTATTGAGCCGTGGCACCGGCCTGTACTTAGTGATTAATTAAGGCACTGTCAACAGTTTGAGAGAGCTTCATCAGAGCCTCATCTTGGGGAAGAATGTTCCAAATACACTTTAAGAAAGTTACTTTTGGAGTTAGAATAGAACTGTTTGATAGGCTCACCAGTATAATTACGCAAATGTGTTAGTCAATGCGCAAATATTTAAAAAAAACACCTATCTTGTTAATTTTAGTACCCCTTTTCTCTTAGGAATAGTGTTCTGGTTTGGATGACAGATAATATGATCATCTTGTTTAGGACCCGATTCAATTATCTGTGGAAGTTTTTGTGATTAGCACAGATAGTAATAAATTTCTCCCCCTCCAAACTTCTTAGAATAGGTCCTTTGTACTCTTCATATGTAATTTATGCATGCGGTAGTATTTTTGAGTTGCATGTGTTGTCTGCTACTAGGTTGTGAGGTTTTCAAGTATTTTGACAATTGTTTGTTATGCTAGGGCCCACACTAAGCACACAAAAGGTATTTGATAAATACCAGTGCTTCATTAACTTTTTAAAAAGCTTCCCCTCTTCTCATTTATTATTAAGTGATTCTGCATTTACTGTTTGATAACCTTATATACTTCACAAAAATGTCTTATTGCCCCTTGATGTACTTTTCTTTTAGTTTAGTTTTATTTAATGGTAAAGGAAAATATGAATCATTTTCTGAAGAAAATAATTCCGTATTTCAGGTTGCCGAGGAGCCCAAGTAGAAGAAATATGGAGTTTAGAGCCTGAGAATTTTGAAAAATTAAAGTAAGTATAATTTTAGTTATGTTAAACATTTTTTTCTGGGGGCCAGTGTTGCAGGCATAGCAGGTAAAGCTGCTGCCTGGAATACTGGCATCCCATAGAGGGGCTGCCCACTTCCAAACCAGCTCCTTGCTAATTACCTGGGAAAAGTAGCAGAAGGTGGCTCAAGTATTTGGGCCCCTGCCACTCACGTGAAGACCTGATGAAGCTCCTGGCTTTGCCCTGGCTTAGGGCCAGCTGTTGGGACCATCTGGGGAGTGAACCAGCGGATGGAAAATCTTTCTTTCTGTCTCTCGCTCTCTGTAACTCTGACTTTCAAAATAAATAAATAAATCATTAAAAAAAAGTCTGTGACAAACTTTTAAAGGATGTTTAGATTAATCTGTTTATTTTAGCTGGATTGTCCTAGGCTGAATACATTATATCCTTTAAATTTTTTTTTCAATCCTTTGAGATAGTTATTATTATTCCCATTTTATAACTAAGACCTGAGGCTCATAAATAAGTAATTTGCAAGGGATTCAAACCTGAGTCTGCTTCCTTATTTACAGAGTACTGATTGGTTCATTTTTCACAAAATTCACTTACACATTAGTAGTTTTAGAACATGGAACAGGAGCCAATGATGTGGCACCAGCAGCCCATATGAGAATTGGTTTGCATCCTGGCTGCTCCACTTCTGATCCAGCTCCCTGCTAGTGTACCTGGGAAGCCAGCAGAAAGCCTAAGTTCTTGGGTCCCTGCCACTCATGTGGGAGACCTGGATTGAGTTCCTGTCTCCTGGCTTATTTAGACCAGCCCTGGGCATTGTGGCCATTGGGGTAGTAAACTATCAGATGGGAGATCTCTTTCTCAGTCTCTTCCCTCTCCCCTGGCCCCAGCACCTCCTAGCCCCATCACTCTGTAGCTCTCTGCTTTTCAAATATATATATTTTTAAAAGGAACATTTTGACATTAGAAAGTCTACAAAAACATGTTTCATAGCTATATATTGATAGTAATTCAGAGCTTGTCTGCACATCATTATATTTCTACCTGGGAAGGCTACAGTTCTAGTCCCAAAGAAGAACCTTCTCTCTCTGCTGTCATTTTGACGAGAATCTCTCTCTCTCTTTTAAAGATTAACTTGTTTGACAAGCAGAATTAGAGCAAGAAATCTTGCATCTACTAGTTCACTCCCCAAATGGCCAGAATAGCCAGGGCTGGTCCACGCTGAAGCCAGCCATCAGGAACTCCATCCTTGTCTCCCGCATGGGTGGTAGGGCCCAAACACTTGTACCATCCTTTGCTCTTTTCCCAGGCACATTAGCAGGCAGCTGGATCAAAGTGGAGCTGCTGGGACTTGAACCGCACCTTTACGAGCTGCCAGTGGTGCAGGTGGCACCTTAACCTGCTGTGCCACAGCACCAGCCGTGTCTCCTCTCTGAGCCTCTTCTCCTCAGCCTCCATCCATGCTCTCAATAACTGACATTAAATCTGCAAATGAGGCTTAGAGGAATGTTCATTGATGGGAGCGTTATTTATTTTTTTAAAGATTTATTTTTTATTTATTTGAAAGCCAAAGTCACAGAGTTTCCATCCCCTGGTTCACTCCCCAAATGGTAGCAGTGATTGGCTGAGCCAGGCTGAAGCCAGGAGCTTCTTCCAGGTCTCCCACCTGGGTGCAGGGGCCCAAGCACTTGGGCCACCTGCTGCTGCTTTCCCAGGGGCATTACTAGGGAGCTGGATTGGGGGTGGAGCAGCTGGGATGTTGATGTTGCAAGTGGCGTTACGCCAGAATGCAGGCCTCAAGGAATGGCTTCTAAAGGGAAAATGGAGAGCTGGGGAGATGGCTGCTGTCTTTAATGGTCCGAAGGAAATGGTTTGCTTCCACCTGCCTTCCTCTTCCCCTCAAAAAGAACAATTTTTTAAAAGATTTTATTTATTTGAGAGGTAGAGCTACAGATAAAGGGAGAGACAGAGAAGTCTTCCATCCACTGATTCACTCCCCCAGGTGGCTGCAGTGACAAGAGCTGGGCCAATCTGAAGCCAGGAGCCAGGAGCTTCTTCCGGGTCTTCCATGTGGGTGCAGGGGCCCAAGGGCTTGGCCATCTGCTGCTGCTTTCCCAGGCGCATTAGCAGGGAGCTGGATTGGAAGTGGAGCAGCCGGGACTTGAACTGGCGCCCTTATGGGATGCTGGTGCTGCATGCTGAGGCTTTAACCCTCTGCACCAGAGCACCGGCCTCCACTCATAAATATTTTTTACACACCATATTCATATATCTTGGAACTCAACCTAGCATTAACAGCTTGCTTAGCATCTAGTTTTGCTATGTTTGTATTTTATTTGAGGTGACAGAGGGAGAAATAAATAGTTCACAGATTTGAGAATAAGCCTTTCATTATAATTGTTTTAACCAGGTGATTTTTTAGTTTTATTAACATCCTCTAGAACAATATTTTAGTGAAATTTACATTAATATTTCATTTGCATTTTACTCGTTGAATAGCCAACTATAATGTACTAACAATATGTTATAAAAAAAAAAGCAGGATTTAGTGTCACTTGTTTGTGTTTTATTTTGCAGGCCAGTTCATGGATTGATTTTTCTTTTCAAGTGGCAGCCAGGAGAAGAACCGGCAGGCTCTGTGGTTCAGGACTCCAGACTTGATACAATATTTTTTGCCAAGCAGGTATGGTGCTCATATACACGGAAAAGGCTCGAGAGCAACATGGCTCTTGTCAGTCTGTGCCTCTAGTGCAGCGTTCCTGAACATTTTTGTCTTGGAACCCATTTACACTCTTAAAAATTATGATCTTCAAAGAACTTTTGTTCATGGAATTACCTGTCAGTATTATACCATGTTAGACCTTAAAACTGAAAATTTTTTAAATCTTTGTCAGTTGACTTAAAAATAACAATAAACTCATTACATATTAATATAAATACTATTTTAAATAAAAATTAGTGTATTTACTAAAAAATATTACGGAAGTACATTATTTAACATTTTTGCCAATCTCCTTCATGCCTGCTTAATAACTCCTAGCTTGCTTTTCCTATGTGTTTTTTCATTCGGTTTGTTGCATTATGTTTTGCTTTGCTTTGCTTTTGATTGAAACATATAGAGAAAATCAAGTCTCCTAACCTATGTGTAATTGCAGACAGATGAGTATTATCCTTTTCAGATAATTGTGTTCTCTGATACTATTTCATAACTCTCAAAGTGTTACTTTAGTAAAGCTTCATTGCAATATGAAATTTAAAATTCTTTATCTTACTCTTCAAATGCATTTTGTATTTTTGTCCATTTTGTAACATTGTGCATTGCTCATTTAAAAATTCACTGGTTTATGCATTTTTTCCATTTGTTGACACATTTGCTATGATTTGACAATAACAAGTCATATCTGCTAATATTAAGATATTTATAACATCAGAAAAGTAATTATCTGTCAGAAATGTTTAGCTCACAATGGTAGATTTAAATTTTATGAAATTCTGATTCTTGCTCAAAGTTCAGTGTTCATTGACAGTAGCATCAGGTGTCTTCCTTAAAGCCATAGACTCATTTCACTCATTTTCAAGAAAATATCTGTGAAATATCCTTCTCTGAAAACCCTGTGTCAGTTTTTATTTCAAGTAAAAATATTGTTAAAAGGCTCAGCCCACAATTCAAACAACCTCACAAGTGCCTTCCTCAAGATAATCGTGGTATGCAATAGCAGTTCTTTATCTGTACTTCCTGTTTCATTTTGCAGAATATTAAAGACTTAACCTAAGGTCAGAATTTAATAAAAACAGCTGTTAGGGCATATCAAAGACATTTGTCAGTAAAATGTTTTGTTTTGTGTGTGTATGTGTGGTTTTTTTTTTTTTTTTTTTTTTTAAGATTTATTTTATTTATTTGAAAGAGTTCTAGTGAGAGGGAGAGGCAGAGAGGGAGAGAGAGAGGTCTTCCATACCTTGGTTCACTCCCCAAGTGTCCCCAAGTACTGGAGCTGAGCCAGTCCAAAGCCAGGAGCTTCTTCCAGGTTTCCCAGCTGAGTGCAGAGGTCCAAAGATTTGGCCATCCTCTACTGCTTTTGCAAGCACATTAGCAGGGAGCTGGATCGGAAGAGGAGCAGCTGGGACTAGAATGGGTACCCACATGGAATGCCGGCACTGTAGGCCAGGGCTTTAATCCACTGGGCCATAGCACTGGCCCCTGTTTCTTTTTTTCTTTTTTTTAAACTATATGTGTCAGTGAAGCAGTTTAATGCCACTGCTTAGATTCTTGCTAAAATATCAGCTGTTCCTTTTTTTTTCTTAGCACAAATGGGAACGCAGAGAAAAAGACAAAAACTGCCTTAAAATTGTGATGGACATAATTGAGCTTGTAAACCCCTAGAATAGAGTATTAGGGATTCCTAGAGATCTGTGGACCACCCTTGGAGAACTATTCTAATCTATACTATGATCAGGAAAATACAGTTTTAACTCAAATTAGTAGATACCTCTCTATATCTGGCTAATTGGAAAAGCTGAAAAATTGAGTGTTTGATAAGTTCTTTGGATTAATGTTTCATTTATTTATTTCAAAGGCATATCTACAGAGAGGGGGAGAGAGACAGAGGCAAGGGGAAGGAGGGAGATCTTCATCTATTGGTTCACTTTCCCCAAATGGCCTCAAGAGCTAGAGCTGGGCCAGGCTGAAGCCAGGAGCCTGGAACTCCATCTGAGTCTCCCGTATAGATGGCAGGGGGTCCAAGAACGTGGGCCATCTTCCTCTGCTTTCTGAGGTGCATTAGCATGCAGCTGGATCAGAAGTGGAGCATAGGGCCATTGCTGTGGCATAGCAGGTAAAGCTGCCACCTGCAGGGCCAACATCTCATGTGGGTCCTGGTTTGATTCCTGGCTGCTCCCTTCCAATCCAGCTCCCTGCTAGTATGCCTGGGAAGGCAGCAGAGGATGGCCCAAGTCCCTGGGTCCATGTATTCACGAAGGAGTTGCAGAGAATACTCCTGGCTTCAGGTGGGCTCTGCTCTAGCCATTGCAGCCCCTGGGGAGTGAACCAGCTGATTGAATGTAACTCTGTCTCTCTCTCTCTAACTCTGACTTCCAAATAAAATCAATCTTTTTTTTTTCTTTTTTTATATTTGACAGGCAGAGTAGACAGTGTGAGAGAGAGAGACAGAAAGAAAGGTCTTCCTTTTGCCGTTGGTTCACCCTCCAATGGCCGCCGCGGCCAGCGCACTGCGGCTGGCGCATCGCGCTGATCCGATGGCAGGAACCAGGTGCTTTTCCTGGTCTCCCATGGGGTGCAGGGCCCAAGCACTTGGGCCATCCTCCACTGCACTCCTGGGCCACAGCAGAGAGCTGGCCTGGAAGAGGGGCAACCGGGACAGAATCCAGCGCCCCGACCGGGACTAGAACCCGGTGTGCCAGCGCCGCAAGGCGGAGGATTAGCCTATTGAGCCACGGCGCCGGCCTAAATAAATCTTTAAAGAAAAAGAAAAAAGTGAAGACTCAAACCAGCACCTGTATGGGATACTAGCATTGAAGGCAGCAGCTCAACCCACTGCACTACAGTGCTGACCCCTTGATTAGTGTTGGCAATCTGAACTGTATGATTGCATTTGTTTAAAAATTGCAATTGTTTCTGAGACCCAAAATATTGCTTAGAATAATCCAATTAACCTTTAGAATGGTAGAAAAATAAAATTGTTTACTTTTTTGGTCAAGCCTTTTCTACTTAGTAACTTGTTTTCCCTTTCCTCTAATTTTATTGCTGCTTTCCATTTTCTTCTCAGTGTTTTTAAAGAAATTAGAGCTTTCTCTTCTCTTTTTTAGTTTATTTGACAAAGGGAGAGAGCAGCCATCACTGGTACACTCTTCAGATGCCCGCAATGGGCTGGACTGGGACCAAAGCCAGGAGCTTGGGAACCCAATCCAGGTCTCCCTCATGAGTGTCAGCAACCCAATCACTTGGATCATCATTGCTGCTTTCCAGTATCTGAAGCTGAATATAGGAACCCAGGCACTCTGATGTGAGACACCAGAGAAAGCTATGCCTGGGATTTGGAACTGGAAGCCAATCCCAGGCACTGTCATGTGGGACACAGGCATCTAAACCAACATCTTTACCTCTAAGTCACATGCCACCCCAGAGCTTTTTCTTACTTTAAGGAAATAGGGTTTCATCATTATATATTTAAAAATTATCGTTTTCTGGGGGCGGCACTGTGGTGTAGCAGGTAAAACCACCACCTGCAGTGCTGGCATCCCATATGGGCACAGATTCGAGTCCCAGCTGCTCCACTTCCAGTCCAGCTCTCTGCTGTGGCCTGGGAAAGCAGTGGAGGGTGACTAAGTCCTTGGGCCCATGCACCCTTGTGGGAGACCCGGAAGAAGCTCTAGGCTCCTGGTTTTGGATTGGCACAGCTCCAGCCACTACAGACATTTGGGGAGTGAACCAGCAGATGGAAGATCTCTCTCTCTACCTCTCTGTAACTCTGCCTTTCAAATGAATAAATCTTTTAAATTATCATTTTCTTTCTGATAGCAGAATTTATATTACACAGTTATAGAAATAAATATCCTTGTAATCCCACACCCAGCTTTATTAACTACTTTTAACAGTTAGACATTTATTTAATTAACAAATAGTTATTGAGCACTTACTTTGTAAGCCATTGTTTTAGGTTCTAAGTGTGTATGATGAACAAGATGTTATATTGCTTATTAGCAATAACGTTTTTTGAAAGATTTATTTTACTTATTTGAAAGAGTTACACAGAGGGAGGAGAGGCAGAGAGAGAGAGAGAGAGACATCCAATATCCCATCACTGATTCACTCCCTAGTGCTCACAATAGGGCAGTCCAGTGCCAAACTTGGGAGCCAGGAACTGTGTTCTTATCTCCTACGTGGTTGGAAGGAGCCTGCTGCTTTGAATTGTTGCTATTTCTGAGTTTTAGCAGGAGGCTGGAGTGAAGAGCAGAGCTGAAAGTTGAACAGGCACTCTGATATGGGGTGTAGGCATACTTCCCAGTGTCTTAACTGCTATTATTGTTTAACCCTTGAACGCTGTTGTTTTTTTTTAAGCATTTATTTATTTATCTATTTGAAAATCAGTTACACAGAGAGAGAAGGGGAGGCAGAGAGGCAGAGAGAGGTCTTCCATCTGCTGGTTCACTCCCCAATTGGCCGCAATGGCCAGAGCTGCACCGATCTGAAGCCAGGAGTCAGGAGCTTCTTCTGGGTCTCCCACGTGGATACAGGGGCACAAGGACTTCTACTGCTTTCCCAGGCCATAGCAGACAGCTGGATCAGAAGTGGAACAGCTGGGACTCGAACCAGTGCCCATATGGGATGTTGGCACTGCAGGTGGCAGCTTTACCTGCTACACCACAGTGCCTTAGACCCTATTGTTTAATCGTTCAGCAACTCCATGAGATTGTTATTTTCATTTCACAGATTAAAGAAATTAAGGCCTAGAAAAATTGAATTATTTGCCCAAGGTAAATAATATACCTGTGTGATTGATTCAGAGCTTAAACTCAAAACTAAAACTCAGGTTTGTGGTTCCACATGTCAGATTACCTCCTATATGTTCTGTCCATATCTAATACATTCTTGTAATTTTGTTACTAAGATTATGTAAAATGGTTTGTGTCTTTTACACTCAGTGAAAAAATTTTACTTAGTTCCATTTCGTAAATTTAATAATTAAAGTTAGCATTATAAATTGAAGGCTTATTAAATGCTTTTACCTGCATTTTTTTTTTTTGACAGGCAGAGTGGATAGTGAGAGATAGAGAGAAAGGTCTTCCTTTGCCGTTGGTTCACCCTCCAATGGCCGCCACGACCGGCGCACCGTGATGATCCGAAGGCAGGAGCCAGGTGCTTCTCCTGGTCTCCCATGGGGTGCAGGGCCCACGCACATGGGCCATCCTCCACTGCACTCCCTGGCCACAGCAGAGAGCTGGCCTGGAAGAGGGGCAACCGGGACAGAATCCGGTGCCCCGACCGGGACTAGAACCCAGTGTGCCAGCACCTCTAGGCGGAGGATTAGCCTATTGAGCCGTGGTGCCGTACCTGCATTTTTAAATCATTAATTCATTTATAGTGTTTTCCATAAACAGGTACGTGGTTTTACAGACGAGGTGGAGACAGTCTTGGAGGTTAAGCAGCTGGTCAGTGGCAGTCTAGGGTGCAAACCCAGGCTCCATGGCATTGAAGTCTGCCCTCTTAACTTTATCATGCACTGCTGCCTTTAAAAGTATTTTTGGTATAAATGTCTATAATTTGTTAAAGTAATCTCTTAAAAGTTCAACATTTTGAGCTTATTTCTCTAATACAAATAACCTACTTAATATGATTATAAATTCAAATATCTATGTGAATATCATTGTATTTCCAATAATTAAAATTTTAAAACCAATAATTATAATTTTTAAATTTGGATGGGGTAGCATTTGGCACAGTGATTAAGACCATCTTGGGGCCGGCACCGCGGCTCACTAGGCTAATCCTCCACCTAGCGGCGCCGGCACACCGGGTTCTAGTCCCAGTTGGGGCGCCGGATTCTGTCCCGGTTGCCCCTCTTCCAGGCCAGCTCTCTGCTGTGGCCCAGGAGTGCAGTGGAGGATGGCCCAAGTCCTTGGGCCCTGCACCCCATGGGAGACCAGGAGAAGCACCTGGCTCCTGGCTTCGGATCAGCGCGATGCGCCAGCCGCAGTGCGTCGGCCGCGGTGACCATTGGAGGGTGAACCAACGGCAAAGGAAGACCTTTCTCTCTGTCTCTCTCTCTCACTGTCCACTCTGCCTGTCAAAAAATAAAAATGAAAATAAAAATAAAAAGACCATCTTGGAGTGCCTGGATTTGAGTTTCCTCTCTGCTTCTGGTGTAGCTTCTGATGATGCATACTCTGGGTTGCAGCAAACTGTGGCTCAAGTGTTTGGGTCCTTGCTACCTATATGGAAGACCCAGATTGAGTCACAGACTTCTGGTTTCAGCCTGGCCCAGTCCTGCCTGTTGTGGGCATTTGGGAAGTGAAGAGCTGATGGAAGGTCTGTCACTCTTCCTTTGGGGGAAAAGAGGGGAAGACATAAATAATAGAGAATAGGGGGATAGATTGTTTTAAAAGGTCTTCAGATGATTTATCCCCTTTCTAAAGAAGGCTTTGCTGTTTCTTTAATGAATATAGGGATTATTGTTCATTATACAAAATTTAAACATTGTGGGATGTATGAAATAGAAAATAACAATGCTGATAATCCTTGTTCTAGAGATAAAAAACGAAAACTGCTTATATTTGTACATACTGTTTTGTGGATGTCTCTGTATTTGTTTCTTACACATTAAACTCCAAACCTGACAGTCAACACTTTTGTTTTATGTCTGTGGCTGGTGCATAGTAGGTATCCAGTAGGTGCAGGCTGACCTATTCCTAAGACAGTTACTACAGTTAGCATTGGAAGTCACCAAGATCAAGATACTGATATTGATGCTTCTCTCAGGCAAGACTTTTAAACGTCTTGGAGATCACCTCCTAGGAGCCAAGGGCAAAGGCCAGACTTTCAGCAAGACTAAGTTCTTAACTACACATGGAAAAGTAAAACTCGACCTTGTCAGGCAAATCTTAGAAGGCATCTAAGTAAGTGACAGATTAGCTGAAATCTGAAGGTTAAGTAGGTATTAACTAGGGGAGAGAGACTGAGGAGCACTCTAGATTAATAACAGCTTTATAGCAAAAGCAAGATACTAGAATGCCATTGTAACCAGGGCTTGTTAGGGTTAGGTACGGTTCGGTTTAGAGAAAAATGGTGTATGAGGCATTTTTTTTTTGTCTTCCACATCCATGAGCTCTCAAGGTTGTAGATCGTACTTTTATCTAAGTCCACTGTTCCAAAATTTACTTCATGGTCCAAGGTGATTGCTGGAGCTTTAACCATTCTATCTCAATTCCACATTCCAGGTAACAGGAAGAAGGCAACACACTCCCTTACCTTTACACTTTCTTGAATTTGCTCGTGTCACATGCTTACTTCCCTTTGGTCAAAACTCAGCAGCTAAGAGAGTTTTCATCATTCCAGATGGTTACAGACCCAGATAAAATTTGGGTACTTGAATCGTGTGTGAGAAGATGTGTTTTAGATGAGGAAGACTGGTCTTGTTACTCTTAACTAGTTGCATTTTCACTAGCATAATGAGTTCATTTAACCTATTTAGTTTCCTGGGTATTCAATTCCAGAATTTCAGCAAATTCCTGAAAATAGATTAAAGTAGAAATTAAACATGTTTATTATAGTTATGCCAAGATTATATGAAATAAAAATTTTAAAACTCTTAATTAATATTTTGGAGGTCATTACCATTAAAAACTTTTTAAAATAAAAATTGGTACTATCTTTGCTCTTGTATTTTATAGGTAATTAATAATGCTTGTGCCACTCAAGCCATAGTAAGTGTGTTGTTGAACTGTACCCATCAAGATGTCCATTTAGGAGAGACGTTATCAGAGTTTAAAGAATTTTCACAAAGTTTTGATGCAGCTGTGAGTACAATCCTTTCCCTAATCCTAAAATGTCCTGTTTTTGATGGTTCTTACTTTAAGACTATTTTTAAAAATTGTTTTAGATGAAAGGCTTGGCACTGAGCAATTCAGATGTGATTCGACAAGTACACAACAGTTTTGCCAGGTAAGCACACTTCATGTTAAAGGTGCACTGTTTGTCTCCTTGCTGCCTTGTCTCTCACTACTTGTTTTCTCTGCTGTAGGCAGCAAATGTTTGAATTTGATGCGAAGACATCGGCCAAAGAAGAAGATGCTTTTCACTTTGTCAGTTATGTTCCTGTTAATGGACGACTATATGAATTAGATGGATTAAGAGAAGGACCGATTGATTTAGGTAATCTGGATCCTGTTTCTGGTATTTCACTTTTGACAAGGGAAAAAAGATGAATATGCACCTTGATTTAAGCCACAGTGCTGCTTAAATTTTGAAGGTATAATATGAAGGTCTTAAGGTCTTCAGTACTTTATGAAATTAACATATAGGAAGAATATATTGATTCCTATATTTTAGTAGAGGCCTTTCTTTACTAAGAGAAAATACTTTAAAACCACAGATTACAAATTTATATTTTTTTCAGTTAACTTCTAAAAACTATTCCTTGTGACCTTTAAGAAGTTATTCTTGGGTAAATGTTTGATATAGTAGGTAAGATGCCAGAATGGGATGAGCGTGTCCTGTTTTGGACTGCCTGGATTCAGTTCCTGGCTCTACTCCTGATTATAGCTTCCTGCTAATGTGTATGCTGGGAGACAGCAGGTGATGGCTCAACTAGTTTCATCCTGCCACCCACATGCAAGATCTGGATTGAGGTCCTGGCTCCTGGCTTTAGCGTGGCCCAGCTTCAGCTATTGCAGGCATGTGGGAAGTGGATCAGCACCTGTGGATCAGTTTCTGTCTGCCTTTCAAATAAAAATAAATAAAAATGAAAAATAAATTATTCTTGTCATTGTAACCTATTGATAAGGGATAACAAGCATTTTTTATCTTGTATTAAAATATTTTCATTTGGAACTAAATTAATTAATTGTTTAACAACCTATAGATAGTGCACTAATATGCTATTCTATGTGTCAAAGGATAGATTTGTCCTGAACCCACTCTGTAACTTTGAGCAAAATTGATGCATGATTATTAAAGTTAGAGTGTAATCTGTAATTCTGAAACAATAGGTCAGCAGAAGAATTCTCCTTTTTCTTATTAAAACTTGTTTTAGTTGAATCTAATGTTACATGCTGCTTGTAAAACTATATACTTTTAGAATTTAAAAAAGCATACATTGATTTTGTTTTTACTTTTTGATCATATCTCATGTATGGACCATTTTAATAGTTTCAGGCCAAATTTACATGCTATCATTATATTGTAAAGTATTTGTTTTCCAATTCAGTAGAAGCTCATTTTCTCTAATTTGATAAATTATCTGATTGCTGCATTTTCTCTGTTGGCTTCTGTCTGCTCATTCTTTGTTTATTAGAGCCATCAAATATAAAAGAAGTTAAATGATTGAACAGAACCATCAGTTTTATCATACAACTGGTGGCTATGCTGTACTTTCAGGTGAAAAAACAAGCATTAAAATAACTGGGCAAAATTGGTTTTGTGTTATAGTGGATTTTGGTTTTTGTTTTATTGTTATAGACAGATAAATCACAGAATCCTTTGGCCCACTACCATGTGGGTTGGTTTTTCCTTAGCCTTCACTTTCATCATCTCTAAAATGAAGAGTGAGTTATGTGAAATAGCTCTTTAACTCATTACTCCCTCACACTTGTTTAACCACTACTAAGTGATACAATAACATGACAGTGCACATTATGATGATACTTTTTCCTCACAATTACCAAGAAAATAAGAATTAAAGTTTAACACAGTTATGTCAGAAAAATTTTTACTGTCCTAAACTTGCTAAAATATTTGGAAAAAAATTGGGGGTCAAACTTTTGAAATAGTAATGAACATTGATTTTTCTAATTTGTATTTAACCATTTTTAAATTTCTTTCTAGGTGCATGCAATCAAGATGACTGGATCAGTGCAGTGAGACCAGTCATAGAAAAAAGGATACAAAAGTAAATGTCTCAGTTAATCTCATCAGCATAACATTCTGATTTTAAAGCATTTTTTAAGCTTTTGTTTTCTTATATCTTAGCAATGTATATTGAACATCTACTTCTGATTGGATTAATGCATTCAGAAAATCTATTTCAGAAAATCTCTACATTCTACAGAATAATATGATAACATATCTTTAGAGAAGTTGATCTATCAATTAGATAGTTTGTATTATTTGATATTTGTACAAATATTTGATAGAGTTTTGCTTTTCAGGTTTGTCAATTATAAGTTAAACTTTCATTTTGGCTAATTGTACAGTCACGTTCATTTGTAAGAAATACTGAGAGGTCATGTACATTGTACCTTGCAGTGATAAAAATCTTGAAAACTGTAGTACAGACAGTATCACTGCCAGGATACGGACAATTCCATAGTCAAGATACAACAGAAGGATCTTTATCACAAGGATCCTTTAGGTTGCCTTCCCTCCCCCCTTAATCCCTAGGTTTATAATTTTGGCATTTAAAAATTGTTAATTTGTAAGGAATATGAATGTGTTACACAATGTGTAACCCTTTTATGCATTAGCTTTTTTTCCACTCAGCATGTCTCTCTGGAAATTGGCCTTACTTGTTGAGTGTATCAGTAGTTTTTTAATTGTTCAAAAGTGTTCTATGGCGTGGATTTTTTGCCTTTTTACCCATTCACAGACATCTGCATTGTTTTCCTTTTTTTCTAAATAGGATAAACCAATAAACATTTTTATGTATTTTTTTTGTATACTTAAGTTTTCATTTTTCTGGGATAACTGCCCAGGAGTATCATTGCTGGGTCATATGGTAAATGCATGCTTTGTTTTATAAAAAGAAACTATCAAATGCTTTCCCAGAGGGACTGTAACATTTTACATTTTGACCAGCAATATCTGAGAGATCTCATTTCTTTGCAGCTTTGTTAGCATTTAGTTGGTCACATATAAAAAAAATTTATTCACTCTCATGTTTCACTGTGGTTTTAGACTGCATTTCCCTTAATGACTAATGTTGAAATTCTTTTTGTGCCTCATTATTTAATTGGATTGTTTGATTTTTAACTGTTGAGCTCTAAAGTTCTTCACCTATTCTAGACTCTAGTTCTTCATCTGATGTGTTGCCTGCAAATATTCTCTCTCATTCTGTAGCCCATCTCCTCCTCATCCTAACATGGTTTCATAGAGCAGCAGGTCTTAAGCTTGTTGAAGTCTAAGTTGTTGGCATTTCTCACTATGAATTGTATGTTTGCTGTCAAGTCTAAGAATCCTTTGTTGAATCTAGATCCCAAAGATTTCCCCTATTTTTCCTCCCTAAATGGTTTATAGTTTAATGTTTTACATTTAAGTATATGATCTAGCTTGAGTTAATTTTTTATATGATGTGATGTTTAGGTCAAGGTTCATTTTTAAAGGCTGTTCTTCCACTGAATTGCCTCTACAACTTTGTAAGAAACCAATTAGACACACTGTGTCTGGATTCACTGTTCTAGCCATTCAGCGATTTGTTCCTCTGCCAGCCCTATACAGTCTCAATTACTGAAGCAGTAGGTGGACTGCTGCCTCCCACTTTATTCCTTTCTTTAAAATTTTTGAGCTATTAGGCGTCTTTCCCATATAAACTTTGATACAATATTTCTTATATCTATGAAACTTCTTACTGGGATTTTGATAGGAATTTGTGTCAAACAATTATACCAATTTGAGAATTGGTATCTTTACTATTTGAGTCTTCTAGCCTTCATTAGACTATGGGATATCTTTCCATTTACTTAGCTCTCCTCTATTTTATTTGTCAGTATTATGTAATTTTAGCATATAAATCGTATGCATGTTTTGTCTGATTTATATCCAAGCACTTCATATTCTTTTGATTGATTCTATAAATGATACTGTATTTTTTTAAAATTTACTTGTGATTATGACTAATGCACAGAAATAAAGTTTGGGACTAGCGTCTCAGTACAACGAGTTAAGCTGTGACCTGTGATGCCGGCATCCTATGTGTTCACCAGTTTGAGTTCTGGCTGCTCCACTTTTTTCTTTTCTTTTCTTTTTTTTTTTTTTTTTAAGACTTATTTATTTGAAAGTCAGAGTTACACAGAGAAGGAGAGGCAGAGAGAGAGAGAGAGAGAAGCCTTCTATCCACTGGTTCACTCCCCAGTTGGCTGCAATGACCAGATCTGTGCCAGTTCGAAGCTAGGAGCCAGGAGCTCCCTCCAAGTCTCCCACGTGGGTACAGGGGCCCAAGGACTTGGGCCATCTTCTACCGCTTTCCCAGGCCATAGCAGAGAGCTGGATCAGAAGTGGAGCAGCCAGGACTCTAACCAGCACCTGTATGGGATGCCGGCACTGCAGGAGGTGGCTTTCCCTGCTACTCCACACTGCTGGCCACTGCACCATTTCTGATCCAGCTAATGTGCTGGATTGCCAGCTGGGAAGATTGCCCAGCTGTGGCCATTGTGTCCCTCTGAGGCGTGAACCTGTGGATGGAAGATTGATTGATCCCTCTAACTCTGCCTTTCAAATAAATCAGTTTTTTAAGAAATGCAACTAATTTCTCCCCCTTGTCTTGCATCCTTTCACCTTGTTGAGGTAAAAAATTCTACAGCATTTTCTATATACACAATTTTGTCATTTGCAAAAAGAGGTGGTGGTTTTGAGTTTTTTCTACTTTCAGTTTTACCAATTTTTGCTTTATATTTTTTCTATCTCTGTAGTTTGGTGCATGTGTTTTTATGATTGCTAGTTCTTTGGGTTTATCTTTTTTCATTATATAGTGCCCCTTTTTGTCTCTAGTCATTTTCTGATATGTTTGTTTAATAATAGTATAAACACTTTCACTTTTTCCCCCTTTTATGTATGCATGATGTGTTTTTCCATCCTTTTATATTCAACTAACCTATATCATTGTATTTGAAGCAAGTTTCTTGTAGTCAGTGTAGTTTGGGTCATGTTTATTTTTAACCTGATCTTTTTCTTTTATTTGGTGTGTTTAGATCATTTATTTATTTTTATTTTATTTTATTTTATTTTGACAGGCAGAGTGGACAGTGAGAGAGACAGAAAGGTCTTCCTTTGCCGTTGGTTCACCCTCCAATGGCCACAGCGGCCGGCGCGCTGCGTCCGGCGCACTGCGCTGATCCGATGGCAGGAGCCAGGTACTTAGTCTGGTCTCCCATGGGGTGCAGGGCCCAAGCACTTGGGCCATCCTCCACTGCACTCCCTGGCCACAGCAGAGAGCTGGCCTGGAAGAGGGGCAACCAGGACAGAATCCGGCGCCCGACCGGGACCAGAACCCGGTGTGCCGGCGCCCCAAGGTGGAGGATTAGCCTAGTGAGCCAGACTTTTTTTAAGATTTTATTTATTTGAGAGGTAAAGTCATAGAGGAAGAGACAGAAAGGTCTTCCATCTGCTGGTTTGCTCCCCAGATGGCTGCAGTGGCGGAGCTGGGCCGATCCAAAGCCATGAACCAGGAGCTTCCTCTGAGCCTCCTATGTGGGTATAGGGGGCCCAGAACTTGAGCCATTCCACACTGCTTTCCCAGGTCATAGCAGAGAGCTTGATCGGGATGTGAGTCAGTGCCCATATAGGATGCCAGCACCACAGGCGGAGGCTTAGCTCATTACGCTGTAGTGCTGGCCCCTTCAAACATTGTTCAGAATCTCACCTTGGTTTACCTGTGATATTTTTTGAGTATTTTTTGTATGGCTGTCTTAGTGGTTCTCTAATTTATCAGGGCACTGATGTCAAGAATCTACTAGTTCAAGTGAGATGTAGAAACCTTCCCTTCCCTTTACATACTTTTACTGTCCTGTGTTAACGTGATTGTTCTAATACCTCTTAATACATGTTAGGATGATGCCACATAGTATAATTATTTTTGCTTTAACCATGAAATGTAGTTTAGAAAGTCTAAAGGCAGAAAACATGTTGTATTTACCCACATTTTTACTCTTTCCATTGTTCCTTTTTTGTGATGTCTCCAGAACTCCTTTTATCAAGTTCTTTCTGTTTAGAAAATTTATGGTAGCCATTCCTTGGGGGCAGGTCTTCTGTCAACAGATTCCTTTTCTGTATTTGAGAATATCTTGATTTCCCTTTCATTTCTGAAGGATGTTATCACTTGATACAGAATTCTGGCTTGACAGTCTTTTAGCACTTGAAAAACGTGCAACTCCTTGACTTTTGATAATAAATCCAGGGTATTTTCCCACAGGTGTGGTATTGATCTCTAGCTTTATATTTCTCTCCTGTTTAGTTTTCAGAAGTTTGATTGTGATTTGTCTTGGCGTGAATTTCTTTAGCTTTCTTCTGTTCAAAGTTTGCTCAGCTTCCTAAATTTATGGGTTTTTATTCTCAAACTTGGGAAGTTTTCAGTCATTATATCCTGTAATACTATTTTCTTTATTTGAGATTTACGATTTATTTAATTGAAAGGCAGAGAGAGACAGAAGTTTTCCATCGATGATTCACTCCCAAAATGGCTGCAACATCTGAGACTGGGCCAGGTTGAAGCCAGGAGCCTGGAACTCCATCCTGCTCTGTGATGTGGGTGACAGGGACTGAAGCACTTGGGCCATCTCCCGCTTCCTTCTGAGGCACATTAGCAGGAGGCTGGATCTCAAGTGGAGCAGCTAGGATTCCAATAAGCACTCCAGTATGAGAGGCTGGCATTTGTAAGCAGAAGTGTCTCATGGTGCCAACTCCATACTTTGTCAGCCTCGTCATTTCTCCTACCCTTCCTGGACTCCAAGGACTTGAATATTGGCTCTTTTGTTTAATTTTACAGGCCTTTGAGTCTCTATTAATTTTTTTATAATAAAGGCAGGGATTTTTGTATGTCCTGTTCGCTTTCTCTTCCCAGGGTTGGTTGGTTGGTTGGTTGGTTTATTAAAGATTTATTTATTTATTTCGAAAGAGTTACACAGAGAGAGAGTGTAAGGCTGCCACAAAACACACTAAACACTGGAGTAAGGGAAAGAGCTTATTGGGGGAAACCCGACAGACCAGAGGGAAGGGGCGAAGAAGGAAAAGAGGGAGAAGGAGAGTGTAAGAGAGGTCAGGGGAGAGAGAGAGAGAGGGCTATGTGTTCTGAAACAGGTCCTTTTAAAACTTAGCTGGGGGTGGGCGGAGAAATAGGATCGGTGAATCCCATTAGGATGGGGGTGAGGCTGACACCAGCGGTTAGGCCATGTGGCCACTTGGCTTCCAGCAATGGCAGGGGGGGCTAGAGCCTAGGATGGTGTCAGGGTGTAGATCATGCCATAGATAAGACTGCACCATTTCACTAACAGAGAAGGGGAGGCGGAGACAGAGGTCTTCCATCCCTGGTTCACTCCCCAATTGGCCACAATAGCTGGAGTTGCACTGATCAGGAGCCAGGAGCTTCTTCTGGGTCTGCCATGCAGTTGCAGGCGCCCAAGGATTTGGGCCATCTTCTGCTTTCCCAGGCCATAGCAGAGAGCTGGATCAGAAGTGGATTAGCTGGGACGCCAGCTGGTGCCCACATGGGATGCTTTACCCACTATGCCACAGCACCGGCCCTGAGGCTCTATTAATTTTATTTTGGTCTGATGCCTTGTTCCCTCTGTTCAGATTGAATAATTTGTATTATTCTCTATTCTAGTTTACTGATTCTTTGTCCCCTCTGCTCTTGAACCATCAAATGAGTTTATTTAAGTTGTATTTATCAGTTGTGAAAATTTCATTTTGTTCTTTATATCTTTGTTTACCTGCTGATACTTTAAGTTTTTCATGTTTCCAGTTGCTTGCCAAATGATTTTTACAGTGGCTCTTTTAAAATTGTTGTCATAATTATAATATTTGTCATGTGACTATCAAGTTGAGGTTTTCGGGTTTTTAGTATGACTAATGATTATTGGTTAAAACCTGAGTATCTTGAGGATTTTATACTAAGACTTTGGATCTTATTTGAAACTTGTTTTAGCTGGTTTTTATGTGCACTGCTCTGGTAGAGTACATTGGGGCAACTGTCTCATTACTGGCAGGTGGGAGTGGAAGTCAAAATTCTATAGGTGGCCTCCATTGCTACCTGAGGTTAAATTCCTTGTTATTGCTGGACTGAGGTGGGGATTCCAGCTCCCCACAGGGCTTCCACTGATACAGCTGTGGCTGGCTGGGTAGGAGTGCCTTGGGGCTGCTCTAAAACTGAAGCTGCAGTCTTTGTTACTGGATGATGGTGACAGTTTAGGCTTGCTGTCCTTTGATATGCAAATAGATGTTGTTAGTCCCACCTGGCCTTTCTTGGCATCAGCCTAGGTGCCTCATTACTACCTGGGTAGGGAGGGAGCAAGTCACAGATTTTTCATTCAGAACACTCATGTAAAAGTTTTCTGTTTATGAACTCTTAGTTTAATTGTGATATATTAAATGTATGAATGCCATAATTCTTATAAAGGTAGGTAAATTGTTTAGAATATTTGTTATTTCAAACGTTTCAGGTGGCACTAACATAATTTTAAAAGAGTTGTAAAAATTTGTGATTGGTGAAATCTAGCTCTTTTTTGCTGCGATTGTACTCTTAGTCAATTGATAAATTTTCTTTGCCCATAGAATAAAGAGATAATGAATTAGTTTAATAACAATGCTTTTACAATTTTTGTTTCATTATAAACCTTAAAATAACTTTTTTTTACTAGGTACAGTGAAGGTGAAATTCGATTTAACTTAATGGCCATTGTGTCTGACAGAAAAATGATATATGAACAGAAGATAGCAGAGTTACAAAGACAACTTGCAGAGGTTTGTGGCCATATTTTTAAGTATAAAATTATTGCTTTATTATCTTCTGAGGGAAAATATGTACATACAGATTTAATCTATATCCTGAGTGGAGATTAGAATAAATTCTGGAATCAGGAGGCCTGGATTCAATTTCTGACTTCGTCATTTAATGGGTATATGAATTTCTCAATTACTTTATATAGCATGAGGAGAATAGTGTTTCCCTTATAAGGTTGTCATGAGGATTAAATGAAATAATATATAAAAACCACTGAAAATGACTAACATGAAAAATGCTATAAATGTTAGCAATTGACCACATTAAGTATTCAGAATTATTATTATTATTTTTGACAGGCAGAGTTAGAGAGAGAGACAGAAAGGTCTTCCTTTTTCCGTTGGTTCACCCCCCAGGTGGCTGCTACGGCTGGTACGCTGCACCGATCTGAAGCCAGGAGCCAGGTGCTTCCTCCTGGTCTCCCATGCAGGTGCAGGGCCCAAGGACTTGGGCCATCCTCCACTGCACTCCCTGGCCACAGCAGAGAGCTGGCCTGGAAGAGGAGCAACCAGGGCAGAATCCGGCGCCCCGACCGGGACTAGAACCCGGTGTGCCTGCGCCGCAAGACAGAGGATTAGCCTATTGAGCTGCAGCGCCGGCCAATATTATTTCATTATATGTATAATTAAGCAAATTAGATTATAGTTCTCAGAGTTAATTAGGTACATTTAGAGTCACATGTAGTCTTCATTGGTCTTTATGCTCGACTATAATAAATACGATTGGAGAAGAGAATTAGTAATAGACAGTCATTTTTATAATGTTTGATCACATTTTTGAGTGTATTTAAGCAAATTTATAGCCATTAGTATGAGAGTATGGCAATATAGTATGTATTATATGTCATATAGAACTTGGAAATATGGAAGGTACTGTTATAGGCTTTTATCCTTTAATATTACTGTTTTTAGGCTGATGTTCTGTTACTAGTATTAAGAGTAGAAATTCAAAATAATCATATTCTGTTTATCATTTCAAGATATTCTGTACTCTAGCCTTGATCGTTAGGGTATGCCATTTCTTTTTCTTTCCCCTAAGGAGGAACCCATGGATACAGATCAGGGTAGTAATATGTTAAGTGCTATTCAATCAGAAGTTGCCAAAAACCAGATGCTTATTGAAGAAGAAGTACAGAAATTAAAAAGATACAAGGTATGTTTTTAAAACTACTTTGTTTTAACATTGCAGTCACAGAGCAGGGTACTTTGAGGTGAAGGTATGTTCAGTGTTTGCTTTCTCTCCCCTCATTAACCAGTGTTGAATCATGCATTGAGTCACTGGTACTCTGTAAAGTTAAATAATGAGATTTCTACCTTTTTTACTTTTTAAAAAAAATTATGAACAGATTTTTAACCTACTTGCTGCTTCAGTTCACTGGAGTTATTTTCTTATTTATGCTCAAATTATCCTCATTAGCCATCGGGAGCTACTTTAGCCTATCACCTAAGTCCTTGTGACCTAACAACCCTAGTCTTTGACAGCTTCCTTGTTTTCTAACAAAATGTTTCAGGCTCCCCTTATGCATTTTCTGCTTCGGACTTGAGATCAATAATGTTTTCAAAAATCCCTAGGGTCTTGTGGTGGAAAAGGGAGAGTGGAATTCATAGTCTGGTTCTAAAAGCTCAGTGCTTTCTTGTGGTCATTGGTACTAAGTCTTTTCAGAGCTGAAAATAATTTTTGTTTGTTTCTTGTTTTAATTTTAAAGAGAAAATACCATGTGAATTCCTATTAATAGTTATTTACTACATAATATTTCAGTCAGCAGTGGACTGCATGTAGCATGGGTGTGCAGTAGGCTACACCATCTGGGTTTATAGAAGTGCACCGTGGTATGTGAACATTGACGTAATGCCCAAAGACAAATTTCTCAGAATGTGTACTTAATGTTAAGCCATGCACAACCACTTATTTGGGAGTCAAAGGACTTTATGCTTGAAAAGTTAAGAATTTGCTTCTTTTCTCATAAGCTAACATTAATTACTTATTCATTTTATGTGTGTATGATATACATCATATAAATATATGATGGCTATGTGTGTGAAGGCTTCAAAATGTTTGTGACAAAATGGCATTAGGAGGTAATGCACGTTTTCCAAGAGTTGTTCAATGCCCCATAATGTGTATGTATATGTACATATATAAAACATTCAGAATAATACTGTTAATAACAATAGAAAAGTTTTTTCCTTAGTCTTTTTTATTCCTTAGGATATATCCCATTTTGGACATTAAGTTAACTTACTATCCTTTAGTTCACTTGAAATTTTATTTCTTTTTGTTTTGATTTCAAGTTTTTTAGGGGGACTTTTTGGTAAATTCTTATTTAATTTTGTATAATTATGTCAAACGTTTATATAACTTGGATCCAAATACAGAAAGCAGAGTTAATTTTAACAGTGTCATTCTCCTACACCTGCAATCTGACCTGTATTATTTTTACAGACGGGAGTGGAGGGGAGGGACTTTGATTTTGGTGTGGCCTAACAGGGTTCTAGGTCTTTGGTGAAGCTCAGCTGAAGGCAGGCCTGCCATTTTTGGTGGCTCCCCAGTGTCAGCATAGTGCTCTGCATCATGCTGAACAGCCAGCGAATTTTTGTTAAATAAGGAGATGGCCTTGAACTAGGAGGATTTTTTTCAGGTGGAATTGGCAGGGGTGGCAGGTTTCAGAGTATTCCAGGCAGGAAAAGGAAAGGGCCAGTTTCAAGGCGAACAGGAAAGTAAGAGATGACAGCTTTAACAGTTTCCACTGCACATACTAAGAAAAGAACCAAATTATGTCATTTATATTAGGGTACTTCAAAAAATTCATAGAAAATGAAATTAAAAGATTATTGTGTAAAGAAATTTTGAAGTCCATATGCAGTTTTTCTTTTCTTTCTTTCTTTTTTTTTTTTTTTTTTGACAGGCAGAGTGGACAGTGAGAGAGAGAGACAGAGAGAAAGGTCTTCCTTTGCCATTGGTTCACCCCACAATGGCCGCTGTGGCCGGCATACCGCACTGATCCGATGGCAGGAGCCAGGTGCTTCTCCTGGTCTCCCATGTGGGTGCAGGGCCCAAGCACTTGGCCATCCTCCACTGTATTCCCGGACCACAGCAGAGAGCAGGACTGGAAGAGGAGCGACCGAGACTAGAACCCGGGGTGCCAGCGCCGCAGGTGGAGGATTAGGCTGTTGAGCCGCGGCGCCGGCCATGCAGTTTTTCATAATATGCACTTTCCCTGAGTTTTTAAAAGACCCCTTATATACCTGCTCAATGGCAATGAAGGGCTAGAAAGCACATTAACTTGGAGGGGTGTTCTCTCGATAGCACATAGTTTTCCACTGAAGCACAGACTTTTCCATTCAGTCTGTCCCTTCTTGATAACAAGTAATCCTGAAGAAAGATAGCTCTTGATCACAACATAAAGCTCATCTCATTAGACTTGGTCTGATTATTTGTGTAGGTATAATAGCAAGAGCATTAATCACATAGACCTTCCTATGTTCATCACCTAGTCCTTCTTAAGTTTGCTTTTACGGTGTTTTTGTAAGTAATCTGTGGTTGGACTTTGCAAAGCCTCTATTACTTGTTAAGCCAAGGCTAAGAAGCCGTACTCAAGAAGCTTTACACATGTTCATGGTATTGATTTTTATTCTCATTGAGAACAAAATTTCATTACTTATAATATTTTTTCTATGAGAGTGGAGGATTTTAAGTTGGACGCAAAACGTTAAGTACCAAAAAATAGTCGATATTTAATATTGCTCTATTTTCAGATTGAAAATATCAGAAGAAAGCATAATTATCTGCCTTTTATTATGGAATTGTTAAAGACCTTAGCAGAACACCAACAATTAATACCACTAGTAGAAAAGGTAAGTATATCTTAATATGATTTAAATTTTCCAAAAATATAAAATACATTTTTTGGCATGAGTAGAGATAACATACTTTTTTTAAAATTTTTGCCCTTTTATATTATATGAGAATTAATTACATAATTACTGTAAAATAAAAATGATTGCCTGACTTTTTGGAAATTTTTTTTACTTTTCAGAATTCTTAGAGGCAAGAATTTAGATTGTGCTGTATTAAATTTTAAAACACTACCCTTTCTTTAGGCAAAACTAATTTTTATGTTAGTATTTGAAATGTTTTTATCCACTTAGCAAAATTTGAATTGGTACCATGAAAGTTAGAACTGGAATGGACATTGATGAAAGAGAAGAAAAGTAGGCTGGACTAAGATAACTTTTCTTATTCCTAAGTATCATTTCTGCTGAGGGTAAACTAGCTTAAGTTAGTGAAAATTTTTTATTTTTTTTTTCAGTGTCAGACAGTAAAATATCTGTTGAATAAATGAAATGACTTAAAAGTATTTCTAAGTTTATTCTGTAAATCAGTGTTTCTGAAAGTAACCAATGCTGAATACTCTTTAAAATACATGTTACCTGGCCCTTCCCTAGATATTCTGATATAGGGGAAGGAATCTTTAATAAGTCCCCCAAGTGATTCTAATGCAACTGGTCTGTGTACCACATTTTGAGAAACACTTTGAGAAGACACTACTAGGCAAATAAAATTTTGGACCATTAATTTAAAGACCAGACTACATGGTAGGTATATTTTTCTTCCTAATTTTAAAATTTACAAAGCAAAGATACATTTCAACCCAGCTGTTTCATATTATAAATTTAAAATAATATGAGATATGAGCTAATAAAATTTTTGTGTCTATCTTATTACCTGAAAAATGTGACCCAACTTCTAGTGTTAAATGCAAAAATTATCACAGAAGACTGCTAAATCTCTTTTCCACAGAGGTTTTCTATTTATGCATATTAGGGAATTTCAAAATGGGAAACATTTTCTTAAAATTTTAGTTAGTTAGAGACACTGTTTCCCAAAATGTCTTGGTTAGTAGAGTGCTCAGATATGGTGTTCTCTGTATGAAACCTTATGAAATTCTTCTATTTTAAAAATGTTAAACAAAATAGCAATATGAGGGGAGTTCTGAAAGATTATGAAAAAAAATAGAACTAACAGATAAGTTTATTTTGGTGCAAAAATATTTTTTGAATCCAGGCATAATTTTTTTCATAGTATGCATTTGCCATGAACTTTTTGAAGACCCCTGTACACATGGATTTAAATAAAATTTTCACCAAAATAAACTTTCCATTTTCCTTGAAGTTTTAGATGTACCCTTGTATGTAATGTGCTAAGTCATATGACATACTAAATTTTATTTATTGATGAATGTTGTTATGGATCCACAGATTTTTAAAAAAAGATTTATTTACTTGAAAGGCAGAGCTATAAAGAGGGAGAGACAGAAGAGACAGAGAGAAATCTTCCATATGCTGATTTTCTCACCAAATGGCCACAATGGCCAGGGTAGGGCCAGACCAAAGCCAGGAGCCAGGAGCTTCTTCAAGGTCTCCCACATGGGTGCAGGGGACGAAAGACTGGGCTGTCTGCTGCTTTCCCAGACACATTAGTAGGGAGCGGGATCAGAAGTGGAGCAGCCAGGACTTGAACTGGCGACCACATGGGAAGTCAGTGTTGAGACAATGACAGCCTCTGTACCACAGTGCCAGCTTGGCAGATTTAAAATGTATAAATTTTCCTTTATAATTGTTCTTATGCCTTCCTAGTTTTTTGTTTGTTTGTTTGTTTAATATTTATTTATTTGAAAGAGAGAGGGATTTATTTATTTGAAAGAGAGAGGGAGAAAGAGAGGTATTTTCCATCTGCTGGCCCACTACCAGATGACTGCAATGGCCATGGCTGGGCCAGGTCAACGCAAGGAGCCAGGAAACTCCTCCTAGTTCTCCCATGTGGGTGGCAGGGGCCCAAGCATTTGGGCCATCCGCTCCTGCTTCTCCCAGGCCTTTAGCAGGGAGCTGGACGGGAAGTTTAGCAGCTGAGACATGAACTGGCACCCACATGGAATGCCAGCACTGCAGGCAGCAGCCTTACCTGCTATACCACAATGCCTGCATTGGTTTGATTTTTGGTTACAGTGCATCTCTATAGCTTTTCTGAGAACATTGGAGAGCAGCAGCTTTTCAGCTGTGTGTCAAGACGCTGATTCATTGGTTCGTATTATTTTGGACACAAGGTGGCAGTATGTGAATACATAATGGTGGAACGCTGCCTTAGTCTGTCCTTGAATTTGCACTTGGGTTTGAGGAGGGTACTTATGACCTTATACGTTTACCTCTTTCTCTAAGTTGTTCTTTTATTAATAATATTAAATAGGTAAAATTGAGATGCACTTGTTCCTTGTCTGTATGAGTATCTGTTACTCTCCTGGGTTCTGAGGGGAGTTCAGACTCTTCACTTGATTGCAGTTCTTGAAATGTCTTAGCTGCAAGTACATTCCAGCTGTTAAGGCTTGGGGATACATACACGGCTAATACACATTCTTCTAAGCAACTTATGGTGAAATTTGGCAAAGGAATAGATACGTAGTTTGGTTACTGTGCTGAGTATTGTCATTCTGGTAAGTGCCAGAGTGAAGTCTGAGAGTACAGGACAGCTCTTAAGCAGCTTGATGGACACTTAAAATTTCATATCCACAGCATTTTACATCTGTGATTGGAATTAAATGCTAATTTGTACTAATACCAGCTGCCTTAGTACAAATATGTTTTTAGTTTCCTTCCTTTGGAAAAAAAAATCATTATGCCATATTGAAGTATCATTTTTACTGATAAATACAAATGTTAAAAAATAAAGCAGCTAAAAAACTGACAGAACAGATTAAGATTAAATTTTATAATTCCATATAGTATAAAGGCTTGAATAATGATAATTTTTCTCATATCACTATTAAATAATTACCTGTAGAATTCAGAAATGGATCATTAAATTGGAATGCTTTTGCAAAGGACTGGGGGGGGAGTGTCAAGGTTAGATAAGAGAACAGTGTGTGAAAGCAGTAGAAGGAAGCAAACGAGGAAGATGTGGCTGCTCCGAGCAGAGATGTTAACCAAACCTGTGTCCGGGATTTGGGTTTGGAGTAACAGAATTGCCACAAACTGTAATTACATAACAGTACTTGAGCTAACATCTTTCCATTTCAGAGGCTAATAAAAAAAGTGGAACCTCGATGCAGTGTTTGAAGTTGCTTTGGATGCTGCATAAGCAACTTAGTCTGTCATTTTTTTATGGCAAGGAGAGACAATGATTTCAAAAAAGATTAAAAATCTTAAAATAATTATGTCAAAGTATGTAGAAGTTTCATAAATGGAATCTTAACCCGGCTAGCTTTGTTTTGTAATTTAAGAAACACATTTGGTGTATGGTACAAGAACCTTTGTAACTGTATTTTTAGGTTACTTGCTAATCAGTTCGTAAGTGATACATATATATAACCCTTATGTAACAAAAACACCTGTAATAGGAGCCTGCCTGGGTTCCACTCCAGGCTCTGGCTCCTGACTTCAGCTTCCTGCTAAATGCAGACCCTGGGAGGTAGTGACGATGGCTCAAGTAACTGAGGTCATGCAGTCCACGTGAGATCACCTGGATTGAGTTCTGGTTTAAGCAGCCCAGCTCCAGCTGGGGCTCATCATTGCAGGCATTTGGGGAATGAACCAGTGAGTTCGAGTTCTGTCTTTGTCTCTTTCTGCATCTCTCTCTCTTTTCTGCCTCTTGAATACCTTAAAAAAAAAAAAAAAGCTGAACCTGAGACCTAAATGATTCTTTGTTTTAGCAGATTGCCCAGGTCATTGGTATGCATACTGAGAAGCAGTGCTGTAGCGCATGTAATTTAACCTTTGTGGAGGTTTCTCTGTATGTTAGCCTTGAGCTTTGGCTTCTTCACTGACAGAAGAATAAACTAGAATTACTGTGCTCAAGCTGAATAATTGTCATGAGGACCAAATGAAATGTGGGAAAACATTTTTAGGTCATTTAAGTAAGGTTTACTGATCCCACAGTTACATAGTCCTTTAGTGACATGTTAAACTCACACATTGTTATGTTAAACTCTGGTATTGATACATGTAGAAACTTACACTCAATTGGAATAAGAAATGGGCAAATGTGTATGTGTTTTGTTTTGGAATACCCATAAATGAATTTGACCTTATGGAATGAGCTTTAAAATTATTGCTATTATAATACTGTATTTCAACTTCAAATAAGAACTACAAATCAACTTTAATGATTTCTGATTAGGGGCACAGTAACTGTGTAACTGTCCAGGAATAGTTTGTGGTGAGTCTCAAGTGAAAATATAATGCTCTAGAAATCTTGTAAACATTGGGTTTTAGGCTGTCGCTCCCCCTCTTCCTGGAGGAACGACACAGGACCCTGCGCTGTTCTTTCGTCTGCTCGGCGGCCCTCCCCGGGTTTGCTGCTGGTTCTTCCCGGGTTGGCTACCGATCCTTCCACCTCCGTGGAAGGGCGGTTCCCCCTGCCACTTTCCCCACTTCCGCGGGGGAGCGGCACACCGCCGGCCGGCTCTCTCGGGGGCTGCTCAGATGTTATCTGGATGTTCCCTTTAGATGTTCCTGGTGCATGTTGTCTCTCTCCTCCCTTATAGTCCTCTTCCACCAATCCCAACTCTGCTACCCACACGCCGAGCACGCTGCTCTCCTCCAATCAGGAGCAGGTCCTGCTGCTTATTGGTTGAACTGGAGGCAGCTGTGTAGAAGCTGCTCTCTCCTCTCCCAGCGCCATATTGTGGGAGAGCAGATGCATAGAATAAGTCTTAATTCCAGTAACTTAGTCTAGTCCGGGTTGCTCCCCACATAGGCCTTTTAACTTAAGAATGCCCTCTTAGGCACTCTTTATATAGTCTAAAACAGACTTTTAAGATTTTGTAACACACTATCTTTCATTTTTAGGCAAAAGAAAAACAGAATGCAAAGAAAGCTCAGGAAACCAAATGAAGAAGATTGTTTGACTGTGTTCACGTTTCTGCTTCTTCCACTGATGTTCATGGAAACCATTAAGTATACCGAACTTTGAGCAACATCCTCATTGATTCAGTGCACGTTTGGCAGTAGTGCCAGTCTGTCTTGTCTTTAGTGCATGGACTCATAAACTTCTTCCCTAGCTGCATCATGTGCATGTAATGCATATTAAATAAAGTGGTAATAAGAGTGCTTGCCCAAATTCCATTATTTGACATTGGAACTGAGAACTGCTAGATATGTATCATACCATAAGTAACTTACAAAGTGCATAAATGGTATTCTTTATCTGCAACTGTTGTACTTACAATTTTCTGATCTTTGTATTCAGTTGCATAGTTACAATTTATAAATTGCAGATCCCAACTAAACTGGATGTCCTGTTATCATTAGTGGGAAAAAAAATCAGCATTTTTATCTTTGATATATGAGTGTTTTGAGGATGTTAAAACAAATTGTATCTCCTATATCAATTATTTGAAAAAGTATGATTTTTAAGGCTGATAATTTGAAGTGAGCAAAAGTACAATTTTCATCACAATTTTTGCAGACACTTCAGGTGTTTGGGGTTAATCATTTACGTATTGTAGAGTTGTCCTGGGAATGTCTGAGTACTATGCTTCAGGTTAAGAATAAATTGTAAATCTTAAAATGTTTTGGTGTTACTTGCAGTTTGTCAACCTTTTTTTTTAAGTTGTTAAGCTGTGTCTATTGAAAATGGTTGACAATTCAGGCTACCTGCTTTGAAGAAGTGACGGCAGTGGGGGAATCCTTCTGTGCCAATTTGAACAAAATTAGTATACCCGACACTTTTCTAGAGCCATGTACAATTTGCTTCACAGTGGATTTTTTTAATTGCTTTTAAGAGTTGCTTTTTTTTCTTAGAAAGTAATGCTGTACTATATTCTTGTTCCTGATCTTTTCCAAGGTAAACTTTAAAGGAAATTTTATAAAAGTTTTTATAAGGAAATCTACCTTTTTCTTTACCAAGCACGTATTTGAAGCTGATTCATGACTTTTAAAACATTTTATTATTTATTGTAAAATAAATTTGACATAATTTATTTTATTAGGGAAAACTGTGTGCCCATCTTTCAGCTTCAACACATGAGTTTTTGAAGATTATTTTTAAGCTTACTAATTGTGTATTAAATGACTTAAACTAATGAAGGAAAATTGGTGGTAAACTGAATAGAAAAATAAGCAAAATATTTTTTCACACAGAATTTAAATTGATACTAAAGAGTAATGTGTAGGTTTTCAGTTATTTGTGGGTAAATATATTTTGGTCTTGATACAGTAGTAATTATGGAGTGTTTCAAAGCTGTGATACAATTTTTAAAAACAATTTCCTAAGGCCTATTTTAGGCTCATGTTGATCCCATTAATTTATTTCAGTTTAATTTGTATAATCTCTTTTATTGAGGCTTAAATTTTGTAAAACAATGTAAGGGTTATTATAGTAAGTAGTACCCAGTAATCAATATGCCATGATGCTGACGTAAGGATCAACAAATGAGCGAAGTAGAAAAGAGAGCCTAAAACAGATTCACATTTATGTGATCACTTGAATTTCAACAAAGGTAGCAAAGGAATCCAACAGGGAAGGAAACTCTTTTGAAAAATGTAGCCAGAATAGAAGAGCTGAATATCCACATGGAAAACAATGAACTATGACCCCCTACCTCACAAAAGTTAATTTTAGGTGCTTCATAGACCTAAGGATACCGCTAAAAAGTATATTGCTTTTCAGCAGAATGCATAGGTGGGTATATTTGTGACTGGAGATAGCCCAAGGTTTCTTAGGTCACAGAAAGCAATACTCATAAAAGATCCAAGATTAGGGTTTGTCACTGAAAGACACTGTTAATAAAAGTAACTAGTATCAAATAGCGTTTAAAAAATAACTTTATAAAACTACTGTATTTATAGATACAGACATTTTTGGTTATTAATCTAATTCTACTAAAATTTCCTGATAGGAATTTCCATAGCTTTAGAATGGTTTATTTGCTGCTGCTTTGATGATTGCAAATGCATTGTTACACTTAATGATTATTTCTGCCTGTGAATAAAGAAATATGACTTGATCTTGTCTGGGTCCTATATATTGCTGGTTTGAGACTAAGATGGGAAGCTGAGGGATAGAGAAAATATAGGAATAAAGAACAGTCCAGAAATACATAGGCAGACCATTTTAAAGGGATATTTTAAAGAAAGTTTCTTTTGCTCATTTACTTTGGCCCTTTATTTTCTGAAATCTCCGTGATTGGGTGGGTGGAGGCCCTGCCGTTCTGCTTTATGCCTTTTACAATGGCTGGTTCTAAGGGATGTCCTTGTGCTGTTACAAACAGGACAGCTGCGGCACTGGCTAGTCTCACCTCATATGTTTAGTTCCCAAGATAGCTGCCCTTTTCCTAGCAGAGAGCAGTCAGCTGGACTGTGCCACTAGAAAAGACAAATATTTGTTCTGGGATCATGACCATGGGGATTTGCTCCCCTATTTAGGACCAAGATACATACTTCTATGTGTGTTTTGGTGTTCCATGCAGATTGATACCTTTAGTTAATCCTCCTACTTGCCTATAGCATTTTAAGATACACTAGATATTCTTTTTTTCCTGTGGGAAGATTTTGTTCTGTTTGGAAAAAAGAAAAAGGATATTTACCACCACCACCCCCCCCAAAGAAAAGTTTAGATAAAACAGATAAGCAAAAGTAAAATTTCCATTCTACATATTTCTCCCAAAGGGCTGGCCATGGCCATGTTCAGTGTATTTAGTTTCCTTTTTCCCTTTGTGTGTGCACATTTCTATGTGTTAGTCTTGTATGCCTCTTGCACACTATGAATTAGATTAATGTGGTATAGCATTATTTTTATTTTAAACTTGATAATACTCAGTTTTTACTTTTCCCAGTGATAACTCACAGCAAACTGTGCTAGCTATGTGAAGAAGAATGGAGATTAATATCAGGAATTTTGAAACTGCCTACTAGTTCCTTGCAGTCAGCCAGTTGGGAGGAGTGATCGCAAGTTTGGAACTCCAGAAATGACTTCCAGCAAGGCCTGTCATACTGGCTGGCCAGGAGGACAGTCCATAAGTCCAGCAATGGAACAACTGAGTTAGGCCAGTTGCCAGAGCTGTGTTCGAGGAGTGAGGAACCAGGCACAACTGTCTCTTGACAGTGCCTGAACACTATTGTGTAGAAAGCCACCTTCAGTCTGGCTAAGGAAGCCGCCGTCAGATGGCTTTGCCTTGCCTTTTTTTTTTTTTTTTTTTTTTTTGACAGGCAGGGTGGACAGTGAGAGAGACAGAGAGAAAGGTCTTTCTTTCTTTCTTTTTTTTTTTTTAACTTTTATTTAATGAATATAAATTTCCAAAGTACAACTTATGGATTACAATGGCTTCCCCCCATAACGTCCCTCCCACCCGCAACCCTCCCCTCTCCCACTCCCTCTCCCCTTCCATTCACATCAAGATTCATTTTCGATTCTCTTTATCTACAGAAGATCAGTTTAGCATACATTAAGTAAAGATTTCAACAGTTTGCTCCCACACAGAAACATAAAGTGAAAAATAATAGATGATTTTTTAAATGATGAAATCAGATCAGACCTATTGTCATGTTTAATCCCAGTGAGAGTCAAGTTGGGAATTGATAATTTCTTCTTTTTTTTTTTTTTTTTTTTTTTTTTTACAGAAGATCAGTTTAGTATACATTAAGTAAAGCTTTTAACAGTTTGCACCCCCATAGAAACACAAAGTGAAATATACTGTTTGAGTACTCGTTATAGCATTAAGTCTCAATGTACAGCACGCTAAGGACAGAGATCCTACATGAGGAGTAAGTGCACAGTAACTCCTGTTGTTGACTTTACAAATTGACACTCTTGTTTATGGCAACAGTAATCTCCCTATACTCCAGTCATGAGTTTCCAAGGCTATGGAAGCCCCTTGAGTTCTCCGACTCTTATCTTGTTTAGACAAGGTCATAGTCAAAGTGGAGGTTCTCTCCTCCCTTCAGAGAAAGGTACCTCCTCCTTTGAAGACCTATTCTTTCCACTGGGATCTCACAGAGATCTTTCATTTAGGTTTTTTTTTTTTTTTTTTTTTTTTGCCAGAGTGTCTTGGCTTTCCATGCCTGAAATACTCTCATGGGCTTTTCAGCCAGATCGGAATGCCTTTAGGGCAGATTCTGAGGCCAGAGTGCTGTTTAGGACATCCACTATTCTATGAGTCTGCTGAGTATCTCGCTTCCCATGTTGGATCACTCTCCCCTTTATTTATTCTATCGGTTAGTATTAGCAGGTACTAGACTTGTTTATGTGCTCCCTTTGACTCTTAGTCTGAGAAAGGTCTTTCTTTTTGCCGTTGGTTCACCCTCCAATGGCCGCCGCGGCCGGCGCACCGCGCTGATCCAATGGCAGGAGCCAGGTACTTATCCTGGTCTCCCATGGGGTGCAGGGCCCAAGCACTTGGGCCATCCTCCACTGCCTTCCCGGGCCACAGCAGAGAGCTGGCCTGGAAGAGGAGCAACCGGGACAGAATCCGGTGCCCCGACCGGGACTAGAACCTGGTGTGCCGGCGCCGCAAGGCGGAGGATTAGCCTAGTGAGCTGCAGCGCCGGCCTTTGCCTTGCTTTTTTTTTTTTTTTTTTTTATCTTTTATTTAATGAATATAAATTTCCAAAGTATGACTCATGGGTTACAATGGCTTTCCCCCCCATACCGTCCCTCCCACCCACAACCCTCCCCTTTCCCACTCCCTCTCCCCTTCCATTCACATCAAGATTCATTTTCGATTCTCTTTATCTACAGAAGATCAGCTTAGTATACCTTAAGTAAGGATTTCAACAGTTTGTTCCCACACAGAAACATAAAGTGAAAAATAATAGATGATTTTTTTTTAAATGATGATGAAATCAGATCAGACCTATTGTCATGTTTAATCCCAGTGAGGGTCAAGTTGGGAATTGATAATTTCTTTTTTTTTTTTTTTTTTTTTTTTACAGAAGATCAGTTTAGTGTACATTAAGTAAAGATTTCAATCGTTTGCACCCCCATAGAAACACAAAGTGAAATATACTGTTTGAGTACTCGTTATAGCATTAAGCCTCAGTGTACAGCACATTAAGGACAGAGATCCTACATGAGGAGTAAGTGCACAGTGACTCCTGTTGTTGACTTTACAAATTGACACTCTTGTTTATGGCATCAGTAATCTCCCCATACTCCAGTCATGAGTTTCCAAGGCTATGGAAGCCCCTTGAGTTCTCCGACTCTTATCTTGTTTAGACAAGGTCATAGTCAAAGTGGAGGTTCTCTCCTCCCTTCAGAGAAAGGCACCTCCCTCTTTGAAGACCTGTTCTTTCCACTGGGATCTCACTCACAGAGATCTTTTTGCCAGAGTGTCTTGGCTTTCCATGCCTGAAATACTCTCATGGGCTTTTCAGCCAGATCCGAGTGCCTTTAGGGCTTATTCTGAGGCCAGAGTGCTATTTAGGACATCCGCCATTCTATGAGTCTGCTGAGTATCTCACTTCCCATGTTGGATCACTCTCCCCTTTATTTATTCTATCGGTTAGTGTTAGCAGATACTAGACTTGTTTATGTGCTCCCTTTGACTCTTAGTCCTTTCATTATGATCAATTGTGAACTGAAATTGATCACTTGGAGTAGTGAGATGGCATTGGCACATGCCACCTTGATGGGATTGAATTGGAATCCCCTGGTATGTTTCCAACTCTACCAATTGGGGCAAGTCAGCCCGAGCATGCCCCAAATTATACATCTCTTCCCTCTTTTATTCCCACTCTTATGTTTAACAGGGATCACATTTCAGTTAATTTTCAACACTTAAGAATAACTGTGTGATAATTACAGAATTAAACCAGTCATATTAAGTAGAACAGACAAAAAAAAAATACTATGAGGGATAATGTATTAAGTTGTCCATTAGCTGTCAGGGCTATGCTGATCAAGTCACCATTTCTCATAGTGTCCATTTCACTTCAGGAGGTTTCCTTTTTGGTGTTCAGTCAGTTGTCACCGATCAGGGAGAACATATGGTATTTGTCCCTTTGGGACTGGCTTACTTCACTCAGCATGATGTGTTCCAGATTCCTCCATTTTGTTGCAAATGACTGGATTTCGTTGTTTCTTACTGCGGTATAGTATTCTAAAGAATACATATCCCATAATTTCTTTATCCAGTCTACCATTGATGGGCATTTAGGTTGGTTCCAGGTCTTGGCTATTGTGAATTGTGCTGCAATAAACATTAGGGTGCAGACCGCTTTTTTGTTTATCAATTTAAACTCCTTTGGGTAAATTCCAAGGAGTGGGATGGCTGGGTCGAACGGTAGGGTTATCTTCAGGTTTCTGAGGAATCTCCAGACTGATTTCCATAGTGGCTTGACCAGTTTGCATTCCCACCAACAGTGGGCTAGTGTCCCTTTTTCCCCACATCAAGATATTGGCACAGGCAAAGAATTTCTGGAAAAGACCCGGGAGGCACAGACAGTCAAAGCCAAAATCAACTATTGGGATTGCATCAAATTGAGAAGTTTCTGTACTGCAAAAGAAACAGTCAGGAGAGTGAAGAGACAACCGACAGAATGGGAAAAAATATTTGCAAACTATGCAACAGATAAAGGGTTAATAACCAGAATCTACAAAGAGATCAAGAAACTCCACAAAAACAAAACCAACAACCCACTTAGGAGATGGGCCAAGGACTTCAATAGACATTTTTCAAAAGAGGAAATCCAAATGGCCAACAGGCACATGAATAAATGTTCAAGGTCACTAGCAATCAGGGAAATGCAAATCAAAAGCACAATGAGGTTTCACCTCACCCCGGTTAGAATGGCTCACATACAGAAATCTACCAACAACAGATGCCTTGCTTTTAAAACCTTTCAACTTCAGTGTGAGCTTTTGTGCTAGGGCTTCTAGAAAATGGGTTTTTAGTCTTCCAGTGTCTGGAGCGAAGGTCTGGTGTTGGGGAATGTTATTCAGTCACTAAAAAGAATGAAATATTCTCTATGGATGATGACCATGAATATTTTTAAGGAAATGAAAGCTGCA